TCTTGTTCAAGACATTGTACCTATACAGTTCATTTATCAATATAATGCAAATTTCTAGTTCTTGAAAGCTATTACCAACTATATAAGAGAATAAGGAAAAGTAGGTGAGTAGTCATCAATTACGATCCAACTTGTAGTTATATTAGATATGCTTTCAAAGTCAAATAGAGATATATTTTAGAAAGACAGGTTGTCTTCAAACACTTCAGAGACCTAAAAATATGGCATTTAAAATGTTTTAATAACATAAGTATTTTTGTGACAATGAGTCAAGTCTGCTCCTGGAAACAGTCTACTTAAGAGAAGATTATGGGCATCAAAGAAACTCACATGGAATTTACTTTCTTTGTGGCAAAGGTTAGAAGTGTCCTTGCCTTGACTGCTGACAGTATGCTGTCCAAAATGGACAAACAGGATACAAAAGAGAGTGACTGCAAAACTTTGCCAAGACAAGGGGTAACAGCCCTTCACAAAAGTCTGTCAGAGATGCTAGGCCTATAAACTGAAGATGGATGCCCCAACGTTATAGAGGAACCTTGGACGACTGTCCAGGCAGCCAGATGTTTTTGTCATTTCTTATTTTTTTGGAAGTCACTTGCTTGGACTTCTTGTTTACTCAGTTAATATTTTCTTCTGGGGTCTTTGAGGGAATTGAAGACTAGATGGTATATAGTTTTCATTGTTTACAAGACTCAGAATAGAAACCCACTAAAGATGTGTAAAGTGTAAATGGTTTGAGAAACATTAAAAGATAATTTGATAATGCAAATTAGAATAGGAAATAAATTAGGTGCAAGACTCACCAAGATTGGATAGATAATGGGTCTTTTCTGAATTGTCAAAATGCAAATGGATTACATATTTTCTCTGAATTTGTCAAATACAAATGGTCTAGACATTGAACTTGTTGCCTGTATATATTGTATATACTTATTGTACATAGTTTTTTTAATTTTTATTTATTATGTATACAGTTTTCTGCCCGCATGCCAGCAGAGGCACCAGATCTCATTCAAGGTGGTTGTGAGCCACCATGTGGTTGCCGGGAATTGAACTCAGGACCTCTGGAAGAACAGTCAGTGCTCTTAACCGCTGAGCCATTTCTCAGCCCTGTACATAGTTTTTCTTATGCTAGTTGTAGTCTTTTTTATTAGACAAAAGGAGATTGGTAGTGATATATTATTTATGATTTATTAAAGCTTGACTGAGTATTCAGAAAGCAAAATCAATCACAAGCCATTGAAGCCAGGCACACACCTTTAATCCCAGCATCCAGAAGCTAGGAGGTGGTGGTACACACCTTTAATCCTAGGACTCAGGATTAAGACATAGATGGATCTCTGGGAATCCAAGATCACGAAAATCTTACAAGAGTGAATCAGTCTAAAAGAGAATTATAGCTCACACCTTTAATCCCAACATTAGGAAGTATATAAGACAGAAGCAAGGTCTCAGAGAGAATTCATTCTCTAGTCATACTGAGGAGAGGTTACAGTTTGAGCTTTGTGAAGAGCTGGTGTGTGGCTACTTCCTGAGGTAGAAGTGAGAGCTAGTGGCTGGCTGCTTTGCTTTTCTGATCTTCAGCTTGAAGTTTAAACCCTAATATCAGTCTCTGAGTCATTTATTCGTGTTACAAAGGGGCACCAAGATTAGAGAATGGAACTATAGATGACAGGTTACAGTGGTGGGGGGGAGACAGGGGAATATAGACAAGGAAGGTGCACCAAGATTACAGCAAAGATTAAAAGGGAGGCTGGAGATGATCAGTCCATAAATTGCTTGCCAGGCAAGCATGAGGACCTGAGCCTATCCCAAGGACCCAGCATTAATAATGATAAAAAGCAATACAGGGCTATGAGTGCTTGCAACCCCAGTACTGAGAAGGCAACTACAGGTCGACCCCTAGGGCTCACTGGCCAACCAGAGGAGCCAACCGTGTGAGTTTCCAGACCAATTATATGGACCCTTTCTCAGGAAAATGAGGTAGACCATTCTGGAAGAGGACACCAAAAATCTATGCTACGAATACACTCCTTCATATGCATGCATGCAAGCCACACACACACACACACACACACACACACACACACACACACACACACACACACACACACACACACACGCACACACACACACACACACGTGCACACACAGGTGCACACACACGCATGCACGCACACAATGAAGTAGAGTCTTGAGAAGACTGAGTCTTAGCTGTACAGCAATTGAGTAAGGGGTGGAGGCTGTGTTCCACAGCAGGAGGGTTATGGGAAAGTGCATGGACTCTATGCTGAGATTTCAGGCTTGAACAAAACTACACTTTGGTCACCTATGAGCTGACAAGGCTTTTTCTTCTGAGATTTGAAGCATTAGCCTAAATCCTTTTCCCTTTCTGTGGAACAAAAAGAGAAGAGGAAGAAGAAGTGGCAAAGAACCGTACCTTCTGGGAAGACATCAAAAACATTTTACAAAAATCCTGAGGATTTACCAAGGGTGTGCTCTGGTCCAGTTGGGCCAGTAGATGGTGGCCAAGAAAATTGGGAAGGTGGACCCTGGTGCAGCATGGTCATCTACAAAGGCTGAGGCCTCTTCTGTAGGAACCACACCTTTCAAACCAGCACTGGGGTGGCCTAGAGGAAGCCTCTGATGAGTTAGTCCCTAGCACATCGGCATCAGCCACTCAGCCTGGGGAAAGTGTGACGCTGACAAGGCCAGGTAAGTCACCACAGGTTTCTGACTTGGAAAAGACTTGTGTAGACGTAGTCCCCATTGCATCTGGGTCAGCCATACCAGAGTGAGACTGGAGCTCACAGGTAAGGTGAGGCAGTGCTGGTGGACAGGTGTCTGAGCCTGGAGCACTGAGCTCCACAGAGGATGCTGTGTCCCCTTGTCCATGTCCTCAGGCTTTGCTTTCATGGATCCACTTGTTCTACTGTGGTAACAGAACCTCCAGTGATGAGTGCTGTTTGTGTGTCCTGCCACCCTGACTGTCTTGTAAAAATGGCCTTTAACTTGCATGAGTCAAAACCTCTTCTTGAAGAAGCTGTTCAAATTGTAATGCTCTGTCTCAATTAGACACAGCTGAGTCAGTCAGCCTTCCCCAGGTGTGAGCCTGTGCAGTCAGGGACCAGGACACTTCCTGACACAGGTGAGCGGGTCAGCTTTCCACAGCTGGGAGCCTGTGCACTCAGCTATCCTTACACTTCCAGATGCAGGTGAGAGAGTCAGATGCCTTCCCCAGCTGGGAGCCTGTGCAGTCAGGGACCAGGACACTTCCTGACACAGGTGAGCGGGTCAGCTTTCCACAGCTGGGAGCCTGTGCCGCCAGGAATCCACACACTTGCAAAATGCAGTGAAAGAGCAGGAGTAAGCTGTTCAGTTCCTATTCATCTGGGAGAAATAATCAAGAAAGGGGTGACTGGTCCCAGCTATGCTGAGAACCCTGCCACTGTGGCTTTGCGAGGCTTAGTGTGCCATCTTCACACACAGTTGGAGACTTGGGCTTCAGTTTTTCCAGGCTGCATGAGCACACTGATTGCCCTGCAGTTCTGGGGTCTCAACGGACTGCCCCATCCCAATAGCACTGCTTTCCTGGGACACTCTGTGGCTCTATGCCTAAGCATCCCCTTAACAAGCTTTTGGCAAGGTGGAAACTCTGGAGTACTGGTAATGTAGCACAGTCCATGTCTGAAAGGCACAGACCAAGGAAGGCCCTTGTGTGAGTCTTGGTCTGAGGCAAGAGACCTGAGGACACAGGGACACACAAGTCCACACCTCAGATTCCAGAGGCCAGCAGACCTGGAGATCTGACCTAAGGACAAAGAAAGCATGTCTGTCCCAGGAGAGGTGCCTAGGAAGTATCCTTGTGTATACCAGTTTGCCCTGCGCAGCTCAAAGAAGATAGCTTCATGTTGCCCACCCAAGTTGAGGGTGGACCCTGCCTACTGAGTCCATGAACCCATATGTTTCTTTAGAATCACTTTGTAGTCAAATCCAGAAACATTGCTCCATGCACTCAAGCTGAGAGCAAAGTCCAGAGTCACAGCTCCCAGTCCGCCTTGACCTGATGTTTGAGAAGAAATTTTCTGCCCACTCGAGGTATCATAATAGGAAGAGGAGCTCAGGCAGGGAATCCCAATGACATACTGTTTCTATCCCAGGATTCCTGGCCTTGCTTAGCAACCCAGAATCCCGTGGTCTCAGACTATTCTCTTTTGTCCATGGCAATTCTGAACATCAGAGCCCTGTGCCCTGTGGTCATGACACGTGATTTGTGTGACCAGTTCTCCATTTGCTCGAAAGCACATTCAGAGAAGGATAGGAAGGTGTAGTGTCCTGTGTGGTACACTGATAAAGATATGAAAACTCCTTCCTGGTCCACAACTGTTTCTTCTCCCTTTGGCTGCCAGTGACTCTCCGGGAACATATCCAGGCTCTGAGTCTACACATATCACTCCACAGAATGAGCAGTGGGTAGAAAGGCCTGGGCACTTTGAATTTGATGACTTCATACTTGGTTGCTTTTCAGAGTCCCTTGAATTGTTTCAATGTGATAGTTAGAAAGATTCATTCTACTGGTAGCTAATGCCAGTATTCCCAGTCCTTTGCAAACTGAGGCTGGAGGCTTCCTACAAGGTCAAGGCCAGCCTCACATGCAGAGTGAGACATTGTCTCACAGGAAAAGAAGGCAGGGAAGCAGGCAGACATGCCAGCATGAGGCAGGAGGCTGGCTCATTGACTGATTCTAAAACCTAGGAGGACTCAATTCCCTTTGTGTCTTGTTCTGAGTTCCCCCTGAGTGGTGGGCCTGGGAATATAAATCATCTAAGGTCTTTGTTATGTGTCCACAAAGTGTGCAGTCCTTCTCGAGATGGAAGTAACCGTGGGATAGAGAGTTCTCAGCAGTGTGTCCACTAGGAGATGTAGGCACTGTGAGGAAGGCAAGGCAAGGCCACTGAGGGAGAGCTTGAACCCATTCCTCACTTCCAAACAAGCCTGTGAGTGATGTGAAGCAAACCTCAGCTAGACCTTAATGAGGAGGCTGGAGCAGGGAAGCTGCTTTAGGCAGCAGAGGGCTGAGGCTCTTTCCAGAACACCTCAAGAAGCCTGAGCACAGCTAGGCCTAGCATGTGCTAGGGGGACATCTCAGGTTCATCTCAGCATCTGTGGCTTAATGCAGTACCCCAGCAAAGGAGAAGAGCCAAGGCTGTGAAACACTGACTGAGGGAGAAAGATGAGAGCCATTCACTGGGGTGAGGTGGCGGGGGCTTCACATGTGTCTATGAGAGAGTGAGACTGAGAGTGGCAGGAAAATGTGAAGAGTTCTTTTCTCTTAACATGTGAAAGAGGAGGAAATCACAATACATTTGATCATGTGATCATCCCTGAGCAGAACACAGAGCCTGATTATTATTCTCCACAAATGTGAGGAAGACCATTCTGTTTGCAGGAACAACTGGGGCTGCTCACCCTAGGCTGGATCCATGTAAGCAAATCTGACCACCCCAAGGGCAGGCCTCCTCTTCTCCATCTCTTAGGAGCACATTGGCCAAGTCTTTCTCTTAGCAGAGTCAAGCCATTCCATCTCTTTGGTGTCTGAGCACACATGACTGCTTGTGTCTCAACGCTGAGGGTTTTAAAACACTTCTAGTCTTCATCTGTTATTAAAAGCAATTCTTCAGCATTCCAGTTCCCACTGAGGTTAGGTAGGGTAAAGGATAGCTGTCATAGGACAGACACAGACATGTGCCTAAAAGCTGTATATATGAAGCGTTTAAATAAGCCAAGAGAGTTCATTCTGGTGATTGCATTTTTTTCCTTCAGAGAGCAGCACTTGGCTTTGTGCACACCCAAGAGCTCCTCCATCACCTTTTCAAGTGTTTGCACACACCATGCACACTTAGGATGACCTTCAAGGAAACGCAGTTCCTTCCCAAGAGTGCTTCTGGGTGTTTTGTTTCAAGACCTGAAACTCATAGAACAAGCTGCTGTCTTGGGGTGTCACAGCTATAGCCACAATCAGGTGGTTTATTTCTGCTTTTGGAGAGATCACAGACAACTGAACTCAGATCTCAGCAAGTGCTGACCTGGGAGGCAGGCTCCTGTGCCTTCATCCTTTTCTGTTCCCTTGTATAAATCACGACTCTTTGCATGTTGTTCCTGGGGACACAATGGGAGATCACACAGAAAGTGAGCACCTGTTCACATCAGGCAGCATGCCTTATATTCTTCAGGAGGTGAATACAGAGCACCGTGGGGTTCAGAGGGAGAGAGGGTACACCTGAGGTGACTGTATGGAGGTTGGAAAGAAGGACCCCAGGGGAGTCTCCTGGGGGAGGGGTCAGCATTGGCCAGGTGTGCTGTGCTCCTGCCATGGAGCAGTCCTCCTGGCTGGGATTTGTGGTGGTATCAGAAAAGGATGGCAGAGATGTGTCCACATGACCCCCCAGAGACGTGGTCTCCATTGTCAGGTGTGGGCATGAAGACCAGCAGTGCTTTTGAGGAAAGGGAGGGCTCTTCAATTTATTTGGGCAGAACAATAATGTGACCAGAACAGACTCCACAAGTTAAAATGAAGGAGTTGCAAGGCTGGTTGAGACGGGGCGTTTAGGTAAGGTTTGGGGGCTGCTAAGGATGATGATGAGAGGATGATGGCTGTGTGTGGGAATGTGGGGTTTCAGAGATCCAGGGAATGAGGACTAGAGGTTGACGGGTCTGTGACAGGGCAGACTTGGAGTTGGTCTCATGGGGACGGCAGTGATCCTGTCACAAGCATGAGCAGGGCGTCTAGAGGAGGACTGACTTTGGAAGGGCGGTTCAGTGGTGGCATGTGGAATTTAGGGCACTTGTGTGACAACGGGTCTGCGGGGCCATTGCTGGCAGTTGGAAGGAGGGGAAGCCAGGCGAAAGCAGCCAACGGGACAGGGAGACTTCTTCAGGGAGCTGGCCCGGGAAACCTGGGAAGTGGGGAAAGCTGACTGCAAGAGAAGTCAGTGATTCCCTGGGAGCTGAGAGGAGGTCTACTGAGGGGAGCAGGGAACACAGCGCGGGAGGGGGATGGCAGAGCAACAAGGCTGCAGGGGGACTGGCTATGGGGTTCACAGAAGGCACACAGCAGGGGCAGTGGGAAAGGGAATTCGGGATGTGACCCAGGGCCAGGCTCCAGCAGGAAGAGGATTCAGGTCTCCTGCTGGAGTTGAAGCTCATTGAGGATGCTGGTTTAATGAGCTTTAAGGCCATGGTGGACAGAGGCTGCAAGGTTTAAAGAAGACATCAATCTGGGTGTACGGCACACTGCTGAGACCCTAGTGCTCTGAGGGTGACACTGGAGGATTGTGACTTTGCACCAACCTGTTCTAGACTGGAAGATGTTGTCTTGGAAAAAACAAAAAAACAAAAAACAGTTAATCTGGTGGTTCTTTCCATGGTGTGGTCTCTGAAAACCATCATTTGAGGCTTGGAGCTAGGGGGAAAGAGACTATTGAAGGAGCTCTCAGCACAGACATCTGTGTTACAGAGGGCCCACATGGGTGAGAAATGGTTTCATCAGGGCTTTGAGTTGTTCTTGCTTTTATATTCATCTCTAATTAAATATCCAAAAGCATAACATGTGGTTTACTTGTGAGTGTGCACAGGCCAACAGTGTAGTTTAGTGACTCCTTGACCAAACACCGCTGTGCATACACTACACCCAACTCCAAGTCTGCCCTGTCACAGACCCATCAACCTCTAGTCCCAGCACTCTGAGGGTGACACCGGAGGATTGTGACTTTTGGACCAAACTCTGCTTTACAGCAAACCCTGTCTAAGAAAAATCTACTGATGGTTATTCCCATGGTGGGGTCTGTCCCAACTGCTACATTGAGGCTGGGATATGGGAAGGGAGTGTGATGGGATTGCTTTTGGCAGAGCTGGCATAACAGCACTGGCCTGTGTGCATACTATGAAATTACATGATCAGATTTTTTCTGTTTTTGTTTGGTGGTGTTGTTTAGTTGGTTGGCTTTTTGTCTTTTTCTTTGACTTGACTTTAGTTATCCAAATGTTTGGTATTTTAAAATATAACTTACTTGTGAGTATGCACAGACCAACAGTGTAGTTTAGTGACTCCTTGACCAAACACCGCTGTGCATACACCACTCTGAGAAGGAAACGAGAACCTACCAGGAGCCTGGTCCACATTTCCCACTTCCCCCTCTGGGTTTGATCCCTGTCCTGCTCCCACCATCCCTCCCTTCCTCTTTTTCTCTAGCTCTCACCTCCTAAGTGTGCCCCCCACATGCTGTACTTCATCACTGCCTGGCTCTCACTTCTTGAAATGCAGTGCTTAGGTGTGTAACTTTTACATCTGGCCTCCTCCACTTCACCTCTTTGTTCATCTCCACTCTGGCATGCACTAATCTGTGTGTTTACACCTGGTGAGCCAGTGCAGGACGGGAGATAAGACAGTAGGGCAGTACCACATCAGAAGGGCAGATGGGGCTCCTCTTCACATAGGGAGAAGTCACACAGGTCTCATAGACAGGATTGAAGACATGGAGCTGGAGATCCCGAGAGATTGCTGAACTCATGTCTGAAGTAGTCACGGGAACTCTTGGTGGAGCTGGAGTCAGAGTCTGCTGTGAGCAGGAGGGAAGCAGAGGGGTTTTGAGGCTGGAGAACAAAGCTTGGAAGGTTACTGTTTAGACATCAGGCAGAACTAAGCATGTATGATACAGGGATCTTGTTCTCAGTGAAGGACCAGCTAGGAAGAAACTGGGAGAAGCTCAGCTCATTTTGAGCTCCATGAATCAGGAGGACAAAGCAGATCATCCCATTTTCCTTCTCTCCCTAGAAGACCTGAGTGTTTCCCTGGCATGATTTGGGGGATCATGGTGGGGCCAGTTGTTGAAGCTCCTTGTACCTGAGTATATCAGACGTGACTGGCTGGATCACTGGGAATTCTTGGCTTGGCTTGTGTTTTCAGACCCATCCAACTCAAACAGCTTTGTCCAGTGTCGATTTACACACCCATTTTAGTTCCCAAAAAATGCTTCCTGAATCAATTGTGGTTTGTCCAAATACAGTGAGTATGTGGGATTCAGGTCTAGAAGATACAAGAGCAAAATGCTCGACGGTGCAAAACTGTTTTAAAACTCAATAATACCCAGAGAGTGTCCTAACTGGTTGCTATAGTAGGCTTCCTTTAAGGGGCATAATCTGATTAATATTAGTTGCTCTTAAAAGATATGGTGATACCACTGATGGTTTTCTAAGATAAACCCTCAAGAGACAAAGGTTGAAGAAATTCCACTCTGGACACTGCATAGAGTGTAATCCCTTGTCTCTCCCAATGTCAAGTTTACTCCCAGTTCCTTAGCAGAGGAAGTGTTGGGAAAGCAATGAACACCCTTAATTCTCTTGTAAAATAATTTTTGTGCCCTGGAAGTTGTTCCACATGGAAGAGTGGACTCCAGATTTAGAATTTTTTGCTCTCTTATTTCTCACACTGATTGATCTGAACAGACCTAATTCTTTGCTTGGTTCCTTTTCCTACTCATTTCTACTGTTGGACTTCCTCTGCCACGGTAGGTTATTGTGCAAGAAAGGGACTCAGAGAGATGGAGACAGAAAGAAATGGAGGGAGACAGGGGGAGAAGGAAGAAGAAGGAAAGAGAGAAAGAGGATGAGGACAATAGCATTAAGACAAGGTTTAGGAAGAGGATGACGATGACTAGGAATAGGAGGAGAAGGTCCATAGTCCTAGAGGAGGGAGGAAGAGTTGTACAGAGATGAGGACAGATGGAGGAGAGGAGAAGAGATTAAACGAAAGAGATGGAAGGGTAGAGGGCCAGGAAAAGAGAGGTGAGAGAGGGGGAAAGGAAAGGGGAAAGAAGGGAGAAAGGAGGAGAGAAAGGTGGAGAAGGGAGACGGGGAGGTGGTGTGGGGGCATAGCTTCTGACTGTGAGTCTGCTTTTTCTCATTTCAGAATTGGATGCCTTTTGGATGGGAAGAAACAACATTCTGACCACAAAGGGGTTCCATCCCCATAAACAGGACACACATCTCTTCTGTGGACGTATCTGTAAGAAACCAAAGCCATGTTTGCAGGCAGGACATGGGACTGATACTTGCAAATTCAGCCTCAGCACTCACCATCCTAGAAATGCACAACGACCGTGTATCTAGGAAGCAGTGGGCAGTGGAAATGGGTTTTCTCAGATTTGAAACCTGGTCATTGACTGTCTGTGAGGATGCTCACCCTCCCTGTCTCTTTTCCTGATATCTGGGGATACTACCACTATGTGCTTTACAGGCTGCTGAGAGGATAAAGGATTAGGACTGGAGTGTGGCTTAGGGGCAGAGTGTGAGCTCAGCATGCTTGAGGCCTGGACTCCCTCCCCAGTAAGGTGGGAAAGAAGTAATCGACAAAGTATGAGGTCCATTAGCTTACTTGATGCTCATTAAATGTTAGTTTGTTCTTCATCAATGTCATATAAGATAGGTAAATGTACAGCAACTCATAAAAGCATTTAGCTGAGGTTGCTTATAGTTTTAGAGGTTCAGTCCATTATCATCATTGTGGGACATGGTGGCATGCAGGCAAACATGGTGTTGGAGAAATAGCTGGGTCCTCAGGCACCAGGAAAAGGGAATCACTGGGCTTGGCATGGGCTTTTGAAACCTCAAATACCACTGGATAGTGACACACTTCCTCCAAAGGGCACACCTCCTATTCCTTCTCAAGTAGTGCCAATCCTAAATGACCAAGCACTCAAATTTATGACCTATGGGGACCATTCTTATTGAAACCATAACAGTCAAGCTATCTAAATGCAAAGGGAAAAGCCATGTCAGATGGTAAATTAAGCACATTTGACTCTGGGATTTTGCCTAGAAAGTAGGATCTCACCTGCCTAGGAAGTGGTTTCCTCTCCCAGGTTGCATCCTTTATAACACAGTTAGCATGATCAGATAGTTCTCAAGATGTAGAATCAGCCTCAGATCAATGAGATTCTGGCACTTTACTCCACATCAGCCCAGAGTTTTCCACTGAGTTTGGATTCAGAGGAAATGCAGCAACATAGTGAGAGGACCAGAAGCCTGTCCCATAAAATATGTTAAGAGCCAGGGATGCAGCCGCAGAGACCGAAGAAAAGTTGAGATCCTGGGATCAATGTGCTAATTCCTAGAGGTAGAGCTCCTATGTGTTTGTATATATAGAGACTTTTCTATATATGAGTATGGTGTATGTATATATCTGTGTATATTTTCAATTTGTGTCATGTATGTTCACTGGTATGTATGTATGTATGTATGTATGGCACACTATGCTCATTCACAGAGCCCAGAGGAAGACACTGAAGTGCTCTCTATTAATGAAGCTTATTTCAAGGTAGAACAGAACATTGGGAGTCCATAGAAATTGGAAATTGATTCCTTTAAATGGTATATTTGTTTAAAGATTAAAATATTTTCTGGCCAGAAGCCAGTATAGCTGTAAGGGCCCAGTGCACCCACTGCTAGCCTACCTTGGCTGTCTGAGGGTACCGAAAGCACAGGTTGTAAGTGCCCATAATCACTAATTGACTGAAGAGGGACTGTGGTCCCAAAGAGTCCCAGACACAAGCCTACATGTCTGACTCTGCTCAGAGGGCTTCTGTGAGAGACAACGGTTTGTTAAAGAAGTAAGGCACAGAACTTAAACCTAACTGATGACATGTAAAGTCAAGTTTCTGACTCGAGTGAACTTGATTTTTTATTGACTGTAAGCCCAGATGAGGCTTACTGCCAACATGCAGAATCAGCTAGAAACTGAGGTTCCTGACACAGACAGCACAGTGTCTCCTTAGGTGAGATACTTGACTAGAGTCTGGTACCCCAACACTATGGAAACTGGGAAAGATGTCAGAGCTTACAAGAGAATATCCTACTGATGGCACTGGCTGTGCTTCCACCAGAACCTTAGAGGATGCTGTTTGGGGCTTAAACTCTTCACACTTTGATCCTTTGGCTTCTTATGATCACTGACTATTTGACTATTGAAGCTCCTTAGTGCAGCTTCACTTGTGAGATAAGAAATTCCGAACAAATGGACCACCTCACAAGCTCTGTGAGATAAGAGGAGATGGCTGCAGCTCTGTGATCTGGGTCATATTTGTCAAATGTAGAACAGCAAGAGATAGCCCTCCTTCCTGCCTCATACTCAATGTCAGCTGATCCAGAATGTCTAGTCTCTCAACCAAGTCGTCCTGATGACCATCTTCCTGACTGCACTGTGGCCACCGAACACAACACAGCACACCACAAAAACCTGTTTGGCCTAGAGAGAGTACTCTGTTTGCCTGAACATGTTTCCTTGAAGTCTGGAATTGCTCTGAAGTTGTGATGACCTCATCATTGAGGGTAGTGTTTGCTTCTGTCCTCCAGTAAAATTGGTGCCCTGCAAAAGGATGACAGGACAAACACAGCGTCAGAGGTAGACCGGCAAAAACAGCTCACCGTGAACTGTGATTGGCTGCACATTCTCTCCACTGCTTCTGCTAATATTGGCCCTGCCTAAAAGGGGAGCTACCCAGGACACAGTCATTGTCCATGAAGTTCGCAGAAACTCATGTTTTATTTAAGTGTCGTTGTAATTTCTAAAAATGTGTTATTTAATTCTACAATAAAAGTTAACTTTTGTGTCATGCTCTTGAGTCTTTTCTCTAATCAGGCATCACATAAACATGTTAAATGAGGATGTGATACAGGGAAGTGGTGGCACACACCTTTAGTCCCAGCACTCGGGAGGCAGAGGCAAGCAGATCTCATTAAATTTGAGGCCAGCCTGGTCTACAAAATGAGTTCCAGGACAGCCAGGAGAAACCCTGTCTTGAAAAAAACCAAGGGGGAAAAATGAGGATTCGATTGTTGGCCAATGAGATTGACAAGGCACTGGAGGGCAACGTTGCCTTACTTACGTTCTTTTTCCTTCTTTCTTTGTTTCACCTTCCCTTTTTCTGTCTTTCTTGATTTTTTATTATGACTGGATCTCAGTGTGATGCAAGGTCTGGCCCTGAACTCACTATGTAGACCAGGCAGGCCTGGAACTTACAAAATTCCACCTGCTTCTACCTCCCAAGTGCTGGGATTAAAGACTCTCCTGGGGCTGTAAATTTTAAAACTTACTCTTTGAAATTATTCTCTATGTCTTTAATGTATCTTGATCATATTTATCACTCACTGCCCTCTTGCACCCTCCTCTAGCACCTTCCAGAACCCCTATTCCCAATACCTCCCCACACCTTCATGGTTTTAAAAATGTATGTTTGTTTACTCTCTGTGTGCAAAAGAGAGGCATAGAGGGAGGAATGGGGTGGAGCACTAGGCCAGAATCAGTTCTCTGCTTCCATCATGTGGGATCCCAGGATTACACTGTCAGGCTTGGTGGTCAAGGGCCTAGTCCCCTGAAGCCAAGTTGTCTTTGAACAAGCGACTGAGTTTCCTCAGGGCTTTTTGCATGTGCATGCTTGTGGGGTCCTATTGGATCCTGGGCAATGTCCCAGTCTGCACACCCCTGAAGAAAAATGACTCCTCCTCCTCTCAGTTAGGGGTGAAGCATGAGCCCCTGCCCCATGAATGTTGGAACACTGAAGAGCTCCCCCTTGTGAAGTTTTAGTGGAGGTTAGCAGAGCTGCTGGACTTTCCTGAGTGCAATGGCCTCGTCCTGTCCAGAAGGGAGTTTCACAGCACTTCTGGCCAGCCTCCAACCTATTAGTTGTTTTTGTGTCATTTTACACCATGCCCCTGAGCAGTAAAGTCGGGTGTGTGTGTGTGTGTGTGTGTGTGTGTGTGTGTGTGTGTGTGTGTGTGTGTAATGTAATTACAGAAACTGAGAATGTGGGAGTGTTTTTCATTTTGGGACCAGGTACTCAACACTTGTTCTCAACCCTCTGATGAGTAATGAGTCTGCCTATGCATTAGCCACTCCCCGTGCAAGAGAAGATGCTCTGGCCTATGTGAAAAGCAGCACTCATCTATGGACATAAATATTCAGGAGTCAGTTTCACAACATGTTCATTTAGAAAAGTGACAGTAGCAAGTTTCCCCATGGACCTTTATGACCTAGTATATGGACTGAAGACCAGATTTAAAGCACCAGGCATGAATTATAATCCACAAAGTGGCCAAAATCTCAACCAAAAAGTAATCAGTTACTTCTCTAACAATCATGCCATGGTTGCATCTGGGGGCACATCATCTCCCGCAGATCAGTATGGCAGCATTCAGAATCCACTGCTGGTCAGAACACTGATGACTGCTTTCTCCCAGCACTAGGTATAGCCCTACCCTGCATAAAGAAAGCTAAGCAGCAAGGAGGAAGTTTGCCAGCCAGTTTTAGTTGATTTCTCTCTGTGCTAAGACAAAACTGTAATATCTTCAATAACAGGGTCTTACCATCTAATTCTGGTGTATACCCTAGAGAAGTAGTAATAGCCGGTATGGTTTTGGAAGCCTTAGGCCTCTCTGACTAAAAATGCATATGGTGTATCTCACACCTGGGACTGGAATTTCTCTGTGACAACCCATGAACTGTGGAAGCAGCATGAGGACACCATGTAGGTGTTCTCTCAAGTGGGTCTTTGTGTTTACTTTCTTACGACTCAAGATCTTCAGCTTGGGCATTGACGCCTTCCAGAGTCCCCGATTACATCCAACTTAAAGGTCTGCTTGCCTAGACAACACCCTGCTAAGTTTACCCAGGACCACACCTAGGACAGTGTGGGAAGCTGCAGCCAATGTCCAACTTTTCTTTATGAACTGAGCAGGTGTTCCAGGTCACCTAGAAATTTGCGAGACCAACATGACAAGAATGAACACCTTAGGCAGAGAATGATTCCTACCAGGACCTTCAAGTACAGCCAGGGGTGGCAAGCATTGCACTAGCTATTACTGCCTGAGAATAGTGAGCTCTCCCTTCTCTACAAACCAACCGGTCACTACCGTGCATGGTGTTCTTACCACTGGCCCTGTGGATGTCTCTGGCTAGGTGAGTTCAGGAAGTCGGTCTGTAGGTGTCCTCTTTGCATGTGCTCCCATCCCATCCCTGCTCCAGAAAGCCTCTTCTTTCCACTCCTCCAGTTCTATCCTTCCCTACTCTGCTCTCCCCGCTACTTGCTGGTCTGGCCTAGGTGAAGACAGAGGTTATGTCTTTTCACACTCCAGCTGGCCCTGGCGACACAGACATATCCCCAACCCACCCAACATGATGCAGGCTAGTGTAGAGTTTTAAGAGAGGTTGCTCTATTGGTGCAGGACTGGGCTGAGCACCCCAGGTCACCACTTGTACCTGCTCCTAGATCAACAGACCAGTGCTCTCCAGAGCAGCACTTACTTTAAAGACAGTGCATGGAGCTCAAGAGAAGGCTCAGTGCTCAAGAGAATCAGTGTTTGGGTCTCAACACCCATTCGGTGGCTCACAGTGCTCTGTACTCTAGTTCTAGGGGATCTAACTCCCTCTGGTGACCTGAGCTTTCACCAGGAATGCCCATACCTACACAAAGGCCACACACGTAAAACAAAGTCTTCTTTAAAAAGCAAGAAAAAGAGTAACCCACAAGCACAGGACTCTTGAAACTTGTTCCTACTCATGGCTCTTGCTAGGTGTGCCCAGTCTTGAGGCAGGCCCCTCCCTCATTCTGCATCCCCCAGCACTGGGAGACTGGCGGGGTAACTCCAGGAAGGAGACCTGGAGACTACAGAGTCCTGGTGGAAGTTTGATGTGCCTGGCAATCCCAGGGCTGCAAGAGAGTAGAATGCATGGGAATTTTCACCAAGTGCACATGGAATTTCCTCTCAGCCTTCAGCTGTTCCAGGCAAGACAAAGCACAGTGACACTTATTCGGTAGGCACTTCAGACCCTGGGGTAGCAGGCAGAGGACCCAAGGAAGGAAGTGGGGCCCAGGAAGGCACTTCTTGCTGTTCTTTAGTCTCCTGGAGCATGGCCCTCCCAGGCCTCACTCTGGGAGCCTATTGGGCCTGGGAGGAACTTTGCTTATGCACACATGTTCTTGGCCAAAGTAGATGAAGAATTTAAACTGTCTAAAGGCTCTAAGTTCACTGTGGGATGAGGAAACTCAGTAATGAGGGAGGAACAAATGTCCTGGACTTCATGCTGCTTTAGGACTAGAAGGCGGCTAATATCTTCTTCCTTTTCACTGAGGCCCAGGGCAATGAGGTAACTCATCCAAAAGACAAAAAAGCAAAAGCTTTCTGGGTGTACTGGCTCACACCTGTAGTCCCGGTACATGGGAAGACAGGCAGTGTGTTTCCTGTTTGGTTTACATAGTTAGACCATGTCTCAAACAAAGGCAACTAGAGAGGAGGTGACTCACCTCCTGAGGTTCTGTTGCTTCTCCATCAACAGGTGCCAAGAACCTCTCAGGTGCTGTCCTGAACACAGGTGGCCATGGCAGTCCTGCTCTGCCCCTGTTGTCCCTGACATTCTTCCTGTTGGCATAGTAGCATTAGTAAGTGTGGAGTGTATTGGCATTTCTTGAATAGACACTTAGTTGTGACTTTTTTTTCAGGTAGGGTCTGTATGTAACCCAGGTGGGCCTTGGGTTTTTGGCCATTCTCTTGCTTCAGTCTCCTTGAGCCTTGAGATGGGGATGATATGTGTGTCCTATTTAAACCTGGGCACTCAACATTTGGGTACTGCCACTCTGGAGTAGCAAGGAGCCACAAATCAAATCATCACTCTACCTGCCTAGCATCAAAGGACAGTGGAGAGGTTGAGGACAGGGCAGGTGGACATGAAGGACTCCTTCCTAATCACAACTCAGGGTCAGTACTCAGGTTGAGCCTGGCCACTTCTCTTTCAGTGGTTGACAGCAATTAAGAAAGAGTCAGAGGAGAGGGTGTGGTGGTACAGGCCTTTAACCCAAGCACTCAGACCTCTGCCTCCAACTTAATGGTCTGCTTGCCTAGACACCACCCTGTATTAATGCCTCCTAACAAATCTTGTAGCCAAAAGGCCAGGTCACCATAGTGAACTCCTTGAGCCCCAAATCCAAGACCCTTCACAGAGCCCACAGGAGCATCGTGGAAAGGGGTTTTATGAAATATGACACTGAACTAAATCTTAGAAGAAAAAAGCTTGGATCTTATTCCTGCCCCTTCCAGTCTCTCTACATCAGTCTCCTTCCCCGACTCCTCCTGCTGATGACCTGCCTCAGCACTGGTCCAAAGCGATGAGGGCAATGGTGCTCTGAAACATATGCAACTGTGAGCCACAATCAACTTTCCCTCCTTTCAGTTATGTCCTCTAGTGTTTTGTCCCAGTGATGAAAACTGACTAAGGTGGCATCCCTTATAGATAGATTTGCCTTGGGCCATGAAAGAATCTGGTTAGGTGAAGGATGAAGGCAGTCCAGGCTTTCTGTGAAGCAGACATTCCTCTTATAGTGCTTCACCCGGCACTACTCAAAATGAAATTATTTTGTTGGCCAGGTGTGGTGGTGCATGCCTTTAACCCCAGCACTTGGAAGACAGAAGCTAGCAAATCTCTGAGATGGAGGCCAGCCTGTTCAACAGAGTAAGTTCCAGGACAGCCAGGGTTACACAGAGACACCCTGTCTCAAAACAAAACAAAAAAGGAGACTTTGTTGAGCTGGAATATAGCTTATTGATAGAGGACTTGCCTGGTGTGCATGAGGCCCTAGGTTCAATATCTAGCATCTCAAAAAATATTTAAGGATACAGTTAAATGGGTTAAGATAATTAAGTGGATACAGTTAAGATAAAGCAGTATCTTTGTTGGGTTTTTTTAGGTTACTAAATATGAACTATGTGTAAGCAAATGTTTTTGTGAACCATGAAAAATGACCTACATTCTACACGCATGCTAATGGGAGACATAACATGAGAAAACATGCTTCAGATTCTCTCTTCAGTGTGCAGATTTCATGACCATTTCTGGACTCTCCTGATATATAAAACATCAAATTGCCAGTTCTGAAAATACAAAAGGAGGCAAGGTGTATTGGCTCATTTCCCATGGTAAAACAACAACAAAACATTCATACAACCCCCCCTTTTCTGGACCTGTACTTTACCTGGCCTTCACTAATGTCTTCTTTCTCCAGATCTTCGGGTTTTTGCCTGGTCCTGCACCCAAAGTTGGTACAGAATGCTGGAGGGTCAAGATTCTATACTGGCAGTTTGCAAACAGAAGTCAGTTATAACTGCCACACCGGCTGCACCCACTGGAGCTGGGCAGGTGGCTCACACCTGTGATCCTAGCACTTCTGAGGCTGATGCAGGAGAATCTCTCATGCATTTGAGGCCTTCTCAGGCTACCTGGTGAGTTCCAGACCAGGGTGGGCTACAGAGACAGTGTGTCAAAAGACAAAAAACAAAAAAACAAAACAAAACAAAACAAAAACATGAGGACAAGGAAAGCATCTTTGACACTTTTTAAGCATGAAAGACCCGATTGGTGGGATGTCTACATGGCCTAGAGAATTAAAAAACAGCAGAGTACAAGCAGAATTCCACCCAGTAGAAGGAAAGCTTGCAGTCTGCTGCTTCTGGCTTTCTGCTGCTTGCTTCTAGTGGGCAGAGACCTTTTTAGAGCATCTAGATACTCGAAAAAGCCTTGCTTCTGGAAGTGACAGGAAGTGACATCTGTGAGTTTAAGAATGCAAAACAATGGCTTTTCCAACAAATATTTCCCACAACAAAGAAAGATGTAAGTGGAAGAGAAATAGATGTATGCCCAACCTGACCTAGCCCAGCACCAAGAGTAGCATTATTAAGAAAGTGAAAGATAAGAGTTTTAGACCACATCATCCCCTGAGAGAGACACCCAATGAACTTCCTGACACTCCTGACCCAAGTTAAAGATATTTTAAAAATTTTATCTCATTGTTTGGTTCTTAGAAGCTTCCAGCAGTACATGGATCAGATGAATTCAATCTAGAGGTCTACCTCTCTCCCCAAGAATAGATTCTGCCCATGTGATAGAATGGAGAAAATCTTATGTGAGTGATAAATACCTTTATTAGTGAACACTTAAACATTGATCTCCCTAACCTAAGAGCCTGGGGAAAGAGGGACTTCCATGTCTGTCTTACAGGCTTTCACCATCATATCTGGTTTAAGCATTCATTTTAACAAGACAAATACATGTTGAAGAACTTCCCAATGAGTGCAAGAACTTAATTTCCTAACTAATAAGTTCTTGATGACAGGAAAAGCCTGCCTTCAACAAAATGGAACTCAGAGCCACAAGCCCATCTCAGTGTTGTTAAGAGTTCTGCACTGGGAGACGTGAGCCAGCTAATTGGCATGTGTTCTATAGCTAGAGAAAAGTATCAGGTATTATTGCCTGCAACAATAGTGCACAAATTCAACACCTTGCTGCCCTTTCTTGTGTTTGAACCCATAAAACCACATCTTCTCCCTGAGTTTTCAGTCCCAATGGGCTCACAGCAAAGAGGTCAGTACCGGGACCAGTTTGACTTTAGAATACATCACACGTCTCCTCACAAACACTATCACTCCTCAGCAAAGCATTAAGACAGGCTTGTGCAGTGCTGTGGTGCAGGGAGCTCAAGGTTCATACTGATGGATTTCCCTTTGCTGCACCTCAGCCCTTCTCTCTGGCAGCCTTTCATAGCAGGAACTTGTCCCTCCAGTGTTCCTGCAGACACTTACTAAATTGACAAGGGTGCTCCATCCCACTGCCTTCTGCTCCTAGTTCTGATCGTTTTCATAGAGATTTGGTCCCAAGTACATAATGATCAGCCTGTCATTGTCGTCCCCACTCTCACAATTGATCAGTCCATCCCTGTAATCTTGGGGACAGTGAGACAACCTTTATCTCAATAATACCTGCACATCCAAGAATATGTATTGAGTTTGGGACCACAAACCATGTGAGCACTGAGGATAGAGCCATTTGTCAGAAAATCTCCCTTCTTTCAAGAAATCATGTTTTAGGAGAATCCCACGGTGGAGAGGACTGTGAAGAGGATTTTTTTTTTTTTAAAAAAAAAAGGACCAACATGGGCTAGTGAAATGGGACAGAGGGTAGAGGCACTTGTCGCCAGGCCTGGTGACCTGAGTTCAGTCTCCAGAACCCAAAGAACCCAAAAGGTATGAAAGAAACTGCCCCACAAGTTGTCTTCTGACAATCACTATCCCATGCAGCACGCTCCTGCCCACAGGCACACGCGAACACACACACACACACACACACACACACACACACACACAGAATGTAAGTTAAACAAACCCAGAACCGACTGACAGAGAGGGTGGCTGGGAGGCGGCTGAGATGGGTACTCGGTGAAGTTTTGTTTGAAGAGGTGTCATCTGAGCCGTGAGTGTCAAGCTAGACAGCAATCCCCCAGGAAATGTTAAATTGCTGCTACTCCGATGGAGGAGCCACTGGCAGGAATAATTTTTTTTAAACATACTGGATCGGTCCTCAGTTCCGTTCCCTCATTCACTGGGTTTCCTTTTCTTCCTGGTTCGTTTTCTTTTGCCAAGAGGACAGCTGCAGAGCTCGTTCTCATTGGTGGAAAATTCCAGCCCCACCCACTCGTTCTCCAAACCGGGTCTTAAATCCTTGGAGTGTACTTGCAGGAGTGGCGAGAGTGGGCGTGTCATCGGAGGTGACGTTTCCGGAAGCTCCGGCTGTCATCCTTCACGAAAGGTGGGAAGGGTCCCGGGAATGCTGCGGGACAGGGGAACCTGGCGCGGTGGGACCCCGCGGGGAGAAGCCATGAGTGTGGGGCCCGTAGCCCTGGCCCTGGCCCTGGCCCTGGCCCCGCCGCGCGCGAGCTTCGGGATGGCCCTGTCCCCAGGGCTGGCTCCTGACCAGCCAGGCCCGGTCTCAACACTGCTTGCATTTTTGAGAAACCTGTTACAGGTGGATCCCTCTTCGATGCACACACCCCTGCTCCTGCTCCTTCCTTTCGCCTCCCCCTGGGCCCCCTCCCCCTTCTTCTCGGACACGGTCTTCCCTCTGCGTGGTTGCTGAACCCCATGTGGACCCAAGCCACTCATAGCTTCCGGAGGAAGGGCCCTTCTCCACCCACACGTGCCCCTCGGAAGAGGTGCCGACATGCCCAGCATCCCATGTCAGTGAGCTGTGCTAGGCTGTGCCCCAGTTCAGCAGTGAGGGACTTGGGCGGGTTTTACACTCGCAGGAGGAGGTGTGTTACACTCCCAATGCCCCCACATTCCTGGCAGCCCCCAGATGTTGCTAGGAAAGAAGGAGGTTTAGTGGGGAAGAAATGCCACCCAAAGGTTGAAGGAAGCTAAAGTAGAATTGGACTAGAGAAAACGATATCCGAGGACAGGTGAGTAAAATCCAGAAAAACAAACGGGACTAATCTGCGGTTCCGGGCAGATTAGATTCCGGGCGGAGGAATAAGATACAAAGATGGGAAAAACAAGACCTACTGGAACAGGAGATGACTGTATGCTAGAATAGGGCTGGCTGGGGTGTGCTGCCATCTTATACACAACAGCAACCTCCTCCATTCCTCTCTGGATGATGATGGTGTCGTGGAGCCCAGAGCTTGAGTCTAGCAGAAGCAGCATCTAGAAAGAATGTAAACTCACTGGAGTTTGAATTCCAATAGAGCCTCCAGTCCCATCTGACATAACTGTCACTTTGCTTGGCTTGTGGAGACAAGTGTACATTGATGCTTCTGAGCGCTCACTACTTGGCCTGGAAAAATGGTGAATTTGATGGACTAAATCAGAGAGTGGTTTAGTGAGCAGAATTATGAGCATTTTCCCCAGAAAGGAGTCAGTCATCCATGACTGTCCCCCACCCCACCCAGTCCCATCCCCCTCACCACCATACACACACACACACTGACCTTGTATCCAAAACGGAGGAAGTGTATCATGGTAAATATCACCTGTTCTCCGGTGAGATGAACTGGGCAGCATGAATTAACAGAGCAGTCTTCACGAAGGTTCACTAAACACATTCTGCCAGGTATTGGGAAAATGGAAGTAGGTATCTGGGTGGAGGAACAACAGAATAAATAGCAGAGGCTTCCTTACCTCTGCAGGCCTCTAAGGCCTTCCACTGATGACGAGTGACAAGGGAACAAAAGACCCAAACCACAGTGGCCTATTAATGGCTGTATTCCTTGTGTCATCAAATTGTGGGACAAGGGCTGATTTTTTTTCTTTTCCTTTTTCTTTTTTTGCCTGTTGTCCTCAAATCAGGATCTGGGTGTTTTAGGGGGTAGGAGGGATAATTTACTGATCAGAACCACTTCATGTAGTGTTTTATTTTCTCGAGTTTGTGTTTGTCTGTTTTGTGCTTTGGTTTTGTTTTTTGGTTTTTGGTTTTTTTTTTTTTTTTTTTGTCTTGAGACAGAACAGCATTGGATGTTCTGGAACTCGCTAAGACTGGCCTTGAACTCAGAGATCAGCCTGCCTCTGTTACTCAAGTGCTGGGATTAAAGGTGTGCTCAACCAAAACTCATCCTGTGCTCGACCACTGGGAAGATATGACCCTGGCTTTAATGTTACCTGTTCTCTGTTTTCTCTCCCAGGACTTATTGGTCCAATGTCTGACCATTCGGATGTGAGCCTCCCACCCCAAGACCGGGTGAGGATTCTGTCCCAACTTGGGAGCGCAGTTGAATTAAATGAAGACATTCCGCCCCGTCGCTACTTTCGTTCTGGTGTTGAGATTATCCGAATGGCATCTGTTTACTCTGAAGAAGGCAACATTGAACATGCCTTTATCCTCTACAACAAGTACATCACGTAAGACACCCACAGCTCTCTTTTTCCTTCCTGTAACTGACGCCCCTTGTCTCTTCCCTGTGGTGCCCTCACCTATGGTTCTCACAGTTGCTAACAGCAGGGAACTTGACAATGTCCACCATTCATCAGGTCCAGGCAGCTTTCACATGTGAGTTGTCCTTGCCATTTAAAGACACAAGACTGAAGGTAGCCTTATTTGACTCAGGGATTTCCTGAGTAGGAGGCTTACTCCTCGGTCTGTGCCCACAGGTCCCAGCTATTAGACACAAGAGTTATTAGCAGGTTGGCAGGGTGTGTCTGCATTGGTGAGTGCTTTGACTGCGCTGTCTCTGCCAATCACAGGACCCTGGCTGGTGTGTGGCCAAAGCCCAGATTCCTGTACTCATCCTGTAGCCTATTGAATGGTATAGGAAAGAGGTTTCCTCCTTAGCTGTCACTGTAGTCACATAGTCACCAGATAACTATGGACCACTCGCTGTCTGACTTATCACTGTAAGACATTTCCTGAGCTGTCTGTTCATCATAGTTGGGTAGGCAGCATAAATAGGTTTCAAGGCTATCACCAGGGAATGACTCCTGAAGCCACAGTGACAAGAGCGCTGTGTGGTTGAGGAAGGGGATGATGGGAAAGGGCTTACTTGTCATTTCTAGTCTGTAGTATGACAGGACCTAAAGAGTCTCCTGGGACTCAGAGGAACGCAAAGGCTCAGGAGGGGTTTCCCTGGCACCCTTCCCCTGATCTCCATAGGGCGCTGTGTATTAAGTAGGCACATCACCCTCCAGTTCTGTTTTGCAAAGGAGAAAACTCAGGGCTAAGGAGGAGCTTGGGTTTCCATTTGTAGTGACACCTCCTGTTTCAGGCTTCATTCTAGAGCATGGGTTCTTTTTGTTTTCCATTTAGACTTGAGAAAGCAGTCCCTTGAGATCATAGTAAATCTCCCGTCTCCATCCCTCTCTACACAAGAGACACCAACTCTAACCAGTTCCGAATGTGTCCTCACAGACAGACATACACATATCAGTCACCACACTGAGTTTCTTATCTGTACATCGGTCACGACACTGAGTTTATCGGTCTTCTCAAGCATGGTTTCTGACACAGTAGGGAATACTTCCTGGTTCTGTGACTGATCTGAGTGTTGAAGGTTAGCAGCATCCTTCCCTGGTTTGTCCCCATGAGGTGACAGCAGTCCCCCCTCCCCTCACTTGGGCAAATCCCAGTGTCTGGATTTTTACTGGTTGTTTCGTTTCTTTGTTTACAAGAAGAGATGGCTAGCTGGATTTAGCCCACTAGTTTTACTTTGCCAAATCCTGGCATAGACAGATTGGTTTTGGTTTTGATTTTTGGGTTTGGATTTTTGTTGTTGGTTGTTGTTTTTGGAGGGGTTGCTTTGGGGTTTTATTTGTTTGGTTTTTGTTTGATTGCTTTAATTTTTTCTTTCAAATTTTTTTATTTAAATTAGGAACAAGCTTCTTTTACATGTCAATCTCAGTTCCCTCTCCCTCCCCTCCTCCCTGCCCCCCCACCGACTCCCCTTCCCAACCCCTTTCTGCTCCCCAGGGAGGGTGAAGCCTTCCTTGGGGGATCTTCAAAGTCTGTCATATCATTTGGAGCAGGGCCTAGACCCTCCCCAGTGTGTCTAGGCTGCGAGAGTATCTCTTTATGAGGAGAGGGCTCCCAAAGTTCTTTTGTATACTAGGGATAAAGACTGATCCACTACCAGAGGCCCCATAGATTGTCCAGACCTCCAAACTGACTTGCTCCTTCAGGGTGTATAGAACAGTCCTATGCTGGTTTCCCAGCTATTAGTCTGGGGTCCGTGAGCAGCCCCTTGTTCAGGTTAGCTGTTTCTGTGTGTTTCTCCAGCCTGGTCTTGACCCCTTTGCTCATCACTCCTCCCTCTCTGCAACAGAGTTTCAGGGTTCAGCTTAGTGTTTAGCTGTGGGTGTCTGCATCTGCTTCCATCAGCTACTGGTTGAAGGCTCTAGGATGGCATATAAGGTAGTCATTAATCTCATTATCAGAGAAGGGCTTTTAAGGTAGCCCCTTGACTATTGCTTAGATTGTTAGTTGGGGTTGACCTTGTAGATCTCTGGACATTTCCCTAGTGCCAGAATTCTCTTTAAAACTAGAATGGCTCCCTCTGTGATGGTGTCCCTTGTCTTGCTCTCCTCCATTCCTCCCCTGATTAGATCTTCCTGCAATTGTTTTAATTTTTTTGAGACAGAGTCTCCCTACATATCCCTGGCTGTCTTGGAACTCACTCTGTAGACCAGGCTGGCCTTAAACTCACAGATTGTCCTGCCCCTGAGTGCTAGGATTAAAGGTGTGCTTACAGTTCTTTGTGGAAACTTGGGTAAGATACAAAGTAGACTAATAACGAGGAGGTGGCTGAATGGAGATGGACGTGTGGCTGTGCTGCTCTACATTTTAAATGGGAAATTCTAGAGCATGGGCTTGGGTTTTTTTTTCATAAATAAAAGATCTTGTGAAAAAGAAGAAGCTAATGGTCCCAGAGAAAGGGTTAACTGTAATAGCAAGCTCCTAAGAAATAGAATCAGATGTATTCATGATGTTAGGAGCCCATGGAGAGCTGCAGATACATCTCAGTGGTACAGAGCTTATCTAGCAGGTGGGGGACCCTGGGTTTGGTCCCCAGCACCAGCAGCAGAAGCAACAGTGATACTGGTGAATGATTAAGTAATTGGTTTTTGTCCTCTTTTTATGTGACCCAGTGTTACTCTGTAGCATTGGTGGTGAGGCTGGCACAGGGTGGGGTATCTGCCCCTGTATACAGTGAGCTAGGCCTGGGGTGGAGTTATAGATGGGGTGGGGGTTGCATTTCATTTGCTTGATTTGTTGGGCTTGGGATTTAATTTGGGACTGCCTTGGGCTGACTAGGCCTGAAGCAAGAGATTCAGCTACCTTCATTGTTCTGACTCTTGCTTTCCAAGCTTGACACTGAGTCTGTGAATTGACAAGTGGGTGGCTGAAGAGTTCTAGTCCAGTGACTCTCAGACTGATTTTCACTTTGGTGTGTTTCTGCCAGAGTACATCAAGTGGCTCACTCTACCACTTACTATAGCCTGGGGTGAGGGGCAGGCAGACGTTTACCTCACCACCCTTCTGCCCCCACCACCCCACCCCTGTAAGAATCTTGTTTTGGATCTTTCATGGATGCTTTAGTTCAGGGTTTAAAAGGCATGTCTGTCCTTCCTCCCAAAGCAGTTTAGGTATCTTCATGATCTCAGGCATATCTCCCCGCTTGGTAGTAGTTTTCCTGCTGAAGGAATGTGTTGCCTTTTGCAGACCCCAGTATAGAAGAAAGATCTCGAGCATGTGGGATCAGTACATACTTTCACGATGAGCACAGACAATAAGCCAGGCCATGGATTCTTTCACAGCTTTTTATGGGCATCAGAAGGCTGCACAGAAGGGACTTAGCATGGCCAAGCAGTTCCGGTCTGCTGTGCTGTGTGAGCGTCCTCTGACACAAATCCTCTTTCTGCAAATGAAACATCACCTGTGCTGAAGGCATTTACTGGGACTGGGGTTTACAGACCAAAGAAGGGGTCTCCTGTGCTTAGATTCACTTTGAAGATTAACTTTGGAAACCGGAAAATATGAGACAAAGATCTTTAATGCATCCTTCTATTTATTGAATGCCTGCTTTCTGAATAAGTTGTTTTCATACAAAAACACCTGTTCACGATAATTTTCCATCAAATATTAGAAGGGAGGAATTCAAGTTAAAGCAAAAAAAATTAAATGGCAGGCTGGTGACATGTCTCCATGGGTAAAGCATTTGCCATGAAAGTGGATGGTGTTCAATCCCTGGAACCCACGTAAAGGTAGAGGAGAGAACTGACTCCACAATTGTCCCTGACCTCCTCATGTGTACTGTGGCACCTGTGTGACCACACACACACACACACACACACACACACACACACACACAGAGAGAGAGAGAGAGAGAGAGAGAGAGAGGGGGGGGTGGAGAGAGAGGAAGAGAGAGAGAGAGAGAGAAATAATAATGTTCCACCTGGCACATACAATACCTCCTATGGACTTGTTCCTACAATATAGCATTTATGTATATGCAGCATCCGTGCTCCTTTGTCCTTAAAGCATGAATGTGATCACAGTCTATATGGGGCCACATGGAGCCTTCTCCATCTACCTCAACAGTCTCTTGGATCTCCTCATAGCCAGCTCTCTTCCAGTCCTTACTGGATGACCATCTCGCCATCTCATACACTTACCTGTTCTCTAGTCACTGCCTGTTGTCCTTTCCTGTTGATAATGACCTTCCTGGTGCTGATTCCTTATTTTTTTTATGTACTTATGTTATGTGTGGTGGTGTTTTGTCTGCTTGTCTGTCTGTGAACCACATGTATGCCTGGCACCAGAGGAGACCAGAGGAGAGTGTCAGGTCTCAGGGGACTGGGTTAGAAAGTTGTGAACCCCCCGCCTTGTGGATGCTGGGGATCAATTTCAGGTCCTCTGGGGGATCTGCCATCCAGATGAGCCATCTCTCCAGTCCTAATTGCACTGATTCTTTGACACACTTTTTAAAAATGTCTGTTCTCCATTGTAATGGGAGCTCCATAATGAGGGGAAAGCTTGAGTGGATCCTTTATGATGTATCCCAAGCCTTCAGAGCCTCACTTGGCACCTTACAGAAATGCCCAGTAAATAGTTTTTGGATGAATGAGTGATTGACAACATACTTTCACATTCAGATATGTAATGATTTATTCAGTTATCCTGCCTTGATGGACATTGTCATTTCCTCTGCTTTTATAATTCCATACTGAATCTTCTTGTATGCATATCTTGGTACATGCATTTATGCTGTACCAAGAAACTTCCATAAGTTTCTTGAGGCCAAACTGTGAGTTTCATGGATATGTACATCTTAAGTTTTGAATAATTATCTCCCATAAAAAAAAATGTTAGATCTGTTTACAGTCTTGCTAACATAGGAGAACGCACATTTTCCTACAACTATGCTTATGCCAGGCACAATCTGCCTTGAAGCCTTTGCCAATCTGATGGTAAAGCTGTCGTCTCACCTTTACTGAGAATTTCCTTCATCGGAGGTGAAGTTGAGCACCATTCTCCTATATGTTCACTGCCTGTCCCTCCCCATTTTTGCCTCCTTTCCGTTTGCTCTGTGAGGTGGTTCTTGTACATTTGCTGACGAGTCTTTGTTTTGATGGATTTGCTTTCTGTCATTTGCAACCAGATAGAACCCCAAACAAAAGCATTCATCTGGCCACTGCTGTGTTGTGTTGGCAACTAGGAAGTTTCCAGCCTTGGTGTTAGATCTCGTGATAATTCTCATCCCCATCTCTTGTTCCTGTGTCTACTACTGACTATAATCATATCCACACATGGCAGATGTTGGCTATGTGTGCAGTCCTTTAATTTTTTATTTTTTAATTTATATTATTATTATTACTTAGTAGGAGTAGTATGGGGAGGTGTATGGATAGCTTGCCAGGTGCGTGTATAGAGGTCAAAGGACAACTCTCAAGAATCACTCCCCTCCTCCTGGATGATTCCAGCTTGGCTTGACAGGCTTGTACAGCATGGGATCTACCCACAGAGCTACCTCGCCTCTTGTCGGCCTGTGCACTTTATCTGTTTATGATTTTGTGTTGGGCTGTCTTCATAGTTAGCCTTAGTTGTGTCTGCCTGCAGACCACAGACTGCACATGCCTGGAAACATTCCCATACTTGGTTTGGTGCAAATATTCTCCTCTGAAGGATTATGAGTCCCAGGAAACCTTGTAGTGGTCAAGGTCACACGAGCAATAATGCTCATGGTTTTCTCTTAGCCTCCAGCCTCCTACCCCTGGCTGCCAATGGCCTCTTCTGCTTAGCATCTTTGTTGCTGTGATAAATCACTCTGACCAAAAGCAGCTTAGAGAGAAAAGGATTTGTGTAGCTTATAGGAAGTCAAGGCAGCAATCTGAAGAGGAAACCAACAGAGGACTACTGCTTACTGGCCTCATGTTTATCTACCTTTTTTATACTGCCCAGGCCCATCTGACTAGGGATAGCACCACTCACAGTGGACTAGGCCCTCCTTCATCAATTAGCAATCAACACAGTGTCCCATAGACAGGCCCATCTGATCGAGGCAATTCCTCAGTTGAGGTTCCCTCTTCCCAGGTGTGTCAGGTAACCCAGATTAGCCAGCACAGAATGAATGATGTTTGATGACAGAGGCCCTTTCTGTCATGTCACAAGAAAAAGACCTTTATCTTTGGAGTTACAATTTGGGAATATCACAGGCTTTTATTTGCATTTGGTTTGGGGTTTGAAGGGCCTTTTTTCCTGTAGTAAGACATTCTTACTAAGTAGTTCAGTCTAGTTTGAAACTCACAATGCCTCCTCAAGGATGGAATTACAGATATCAATGGATGCTATATCCTTCTTGACCATTTTTTTAAAAATTTACATATATAGATATAGATATATAGTTGGGGTGGGTACACCTGCAATGTGGCATTCATGAAGAGTGGTAAAGTACTTGAATGAATCGGTTCTCTTCCTCCACCATGCAAATACTAAGGGTTAAACTCCGGTCCCCAGCCCTGGCTGCAAGTGCCTTCCCCTACTGAGCCATCTCACTCACTTGGGTGGCAGGCAGGCAGGCAGGCAGCTCTCCTTTTTGATGTAGGAATCTGGTGTTTGCTGTTACTCCCTGTTTAGGGGGAAGTGACCAGGACTTATGCAGGAACAAAGCTGGTAGGGGACAAGGCCTGTATGCTATGCCTGATCTCCCCAGCACCCCTAGAAACTCTTCTTGCAGTGTCTGCCTTATCTCAGGGTCTCATGTGGCATTTTCTGTGTACCTGAATCATTCTGGTCTGTTTCCTTAGGCTGTTCATTGAAAAACTTCCAAAACACCGAGACTACAAATCAGCCATCATTCCTGAGAAGAAAGATGCGGTCAAGGTGGGTCCCTGTTTTCATTGGTGCCTGTCTCTAAGAAGAGCCCGGAGCAGCTGACACACAGTCTTGGGGCACTCACGTGCCCATCAGAGCTAGAAAGAAGAACGGGGCTGCCTCTCCAGCATGGGAAGGGGTAGTGGAACGGCATGGTGGAGGAGTTCAAATCATGGGGGGGGGGACACCGCTGTCACTCTTGACTTGTCCCCTTTCTCTCCTCCTTGGATGACATTAGAAGGTTCTGATTCTCAGGTTTGGTTTTGTATTTCAGAAATTAAAGAATGTTGCTTTCCCTAAAGCAGAAGAACTTAAGACTGAACTCTTGAAAAGATATACCAAAGAATATGAGCAGTATAAAGAACAAAAGGTCAGTGTGAGCAGTGAAGAGACAGGAAGACGATGTGTGAGCTTCTCAGCCAGTCCCAGGGCCGTGCTATGCCACAGCATATGGGGTCTGTGACTTTTAACAGGCTAGTTTGTCGGGGGTGGGGGGGTGTCGGGCAGGGGGTTGGGCGGTACACAAAGGCCAGTGACTCTGAAGAGTCACCGAGTGGCAATACGGAGGATTCTAGCAGATTCAGCCTCTGTGTCCAACAGGATGACTTGAGGACAGACACCTGTGACTTTCTGTCATACCAAGAACAGGAAACCTGTCAACAGTGAACGTTGTCACTAGAACATTAGGTGTTTCAGCTCTCGGGAGTGGGAAGTTCGGATCATGCACTTTTATCCCTAAAGCTTTGCATAGGCATTGACCTTCCCAGTGATGTGCAATGGGTCTTGTTTAGAATAGTTTCAGCTTGTGGAGAAACACACTGGGTCCTACAGTGCTCTCTTGTAGAGCAGAAATACACACCGGAGGTGTGCCTACATGCTAAAGTGTAGCTGTCTGCTGCACTGTTCTGCACACCAGTGCTGACAATCAGCAGAGGGATTAATAGTTCTGAGCCATATATTTCTAATGCATTAAAGGGGTTTGTTAATGGATATTAATTTAAATGGCACTGTATTTAAATAATCGCTAAAAGAATCTGGAGACTCCCGAAAGTTGTCCTCTGAGCAACACACATAAGCCTTGGCACATGTCACCACTCTAGTAAACATCTAAGTAAATGTAATTTTAAAAGTTAAAAATGAAGCAAACAGCATGAATGCTTGCACGCTGGTGCTCAGCTCCTTTTGTTGTACACTCCAGGATCCCCAGCACAGGGAGTGCTCCCATCCACAATTAAAATGGGTCAAGATCATTTCCTACAGACATGCCCCAGAGCCTTGTTCTCAACGTGACTCTAGAGTCTGTCAAGTTGGCAATGAACACTGGCTTTCACGACAAGGTATCTTGAAGATAGGAACTCTAGCTGTTCTTGAAAATAGGTATATGGTGGCTTGGTAGAACAAGGTGGTTACCGTACTCCATGGCTTTAGGGGTACCTGACGAAGCGTGAATTCGGGATTTGGAAATCAGACCAGAGCAAAACTGTGTTTTGGGCATCTCTGTGCCCAGAAGGCTTTCTTCTGAGAGGTGAAGTATTAGCCAATACCCTTTTCTTCCTCTGCAGAAAAAGGAAGAGGAAGAACTTGCCCGGAACATCGCCATCCAGCAAGAGTTGGAAAAAGAAAAACAGAGAGTTGCCCAGCAGAAGCAGAAGCAGCTAGAGCAGGAGCAGTTCCATGCCTTTGAGGAGATGATCCAGAAGCAGGAGCTGGAAAAAGAGCGGCTAAAAATTGTCCAAGAGTTCAGGAAGGTGGACCCTGGCCCATGTGGGCCTCTGCTACCTGATCTGGAAAAGCCTTGTGTAGACACTGTCCCCACCTCACCCATGCAGACTGCAGACCGTAACAGAACCGTGAGGCCAGCTAAGCCACCTGTGGTAGACAGATCCTTGAAACCTGGAGCACTAAGCATCATAGAAAATGGTGAGTCCCGAGGCTGACGCCTTCTTCCATCTCTCTTGCTTCCGTGTCCCACTTACTTGGCTCCATCAACAGAACCGCAAGTGATGAGAACTATCTTTTTCTGTCCTGCCACCCTGTCTTGTAAAGTAGCTTTTAACTTAAGGTAATCTGAGCCAGTTCCTGGAAGACAGACCCTCAGCTTTTAAGGGTTTTGCAGAAATGTGAGGTATTCAGCGAACTAGAGGTCACAGGTGGCACTTCCTGGAAGCAGTTTTAAAATGTTTAGTGCCACATGCAACTCCATGACTGGCTTTTTTAAGGCCACTGAATCACTGTGCTCTTGAGTGCTCCTCATCTGTAAGGAGCTTGGCCAGTGAGAGTGCTGTGCATTGCAGGTGCTTACTTGGTTCATTCAGAAAACCTTCTGGCCCATCTTCAAATGTCCGCAAGAAAAGAAAGAGGGCTGTGCCCTGAGAACTGGCCTTCAGACCTTCTGCGCCATTCCCGAGCCCTCTCTCCCTCTACTGCTCCTTCTGCACGTCCTGTGCTCTGGGGACACGTTCTAATGTCTTACCCACAGCTCTGGTAGCTTCCACCTAGCCTTAACATCTGCTTTCCCTGCTTTTCTTGAACCTTCTCCGGTTCCTCTCTGTTCAGTCAGATTGATTCAACCCCCATAAAAATCTCAGAGATCTCCTTATCCTCGGTATTTTTGAAATCATTTGTCAATAACTAGATTCTAACTGTAGGCGAGGCCTTGAGTCTTTCTCACTTTGTGTCCTGTGGGCTGAGAGACATGCCTTCCGAGACTGGACTGAGTGGCCACTGCATTGAAAGGAAGAGTGTGCCAAGCCTTAACCCATCGACCACAGACGCAGTTGTCAAACTGCTGTTGCTTTGTCTGCAGGTCTGTGCTGTCCTCTCTGGCAGCTCAGGTCTAGCAGACCAAAATGCTGATGTGGCACATCTGTTTGACTCTTCGTTCTTAATATGAAAAGGTGACAGAGGAGTTCCTGCTTCCCCTAGCCTGCTGGGTCCCACACAGCTTGTCTGTGGAGTTCACGAAAGAACTCACTCTTGGCATCCTGGAAGAGAGGGGCGCACGGAGGGAACCCTGGTGATGTAGCATTTCTCCTCCATGCTGTCAGCTCTGACTTCTGCTCAGGGACTCCTGGCCCTATGGCTTCAGACTTTTCCTTCTTGTCCATTTCAGTTCCCACCATTGAAGGCTTACGCCACATTGTAGTGCCCCGCAATTTGTGCTCGGAATTTCTCCAGCTTGCCAGTGCCAATACTGCCAAAGGCATCGAAACTTGTGGAGTCCTCTGTGGGAAACTGGTAAGAAAGTGTAACTTGCCTGAACTGTTGCTGTTTCCTCTGAGCCTCCTGTAACTCTCAGACTGGATATCTGGGGGTCTGACTCTGCACCAGTCCCTCCCTCCACAAAGAGTGCATGGCATGGTCACTGGGGAAGTGGAGAGGCAGTTCCCTGAAGTTTATGGGCCAGACAGACAGCCTCTTTACAATTCCCATGCCAATAAGAGGCCACATCTTTAAAAAAGAAAATTAATTGGGGCTGGAGAGATGGCTCATCGGTTAAGAGCACTGACTGCTCTTCCAGAGGACCAGGGGTCAATTCCAAGCACCTACATGGCAACTAACAACTGTAACTCCAAGATCTAACACCCTCACACAGACATGCAGGCAAAATACCAATGCAAATAAAATAAAAATTATGTTTTAAAAAATTGATTGAACATGAAGAACAACACATAAGAATTTCCTTCAGCTTAATACACACACACACACACACACACACACACACACACACACACACTGTAATATTAGTCAGGAGTGGTACCTGGCCTCATGTCTGTAATCCTACCCCTTGGAAATCTGAGACAGAAGGCTTTCCTCAAGTTTGAGGTCAGCTTGAACTACATAGTAAGTTCTGACCAGTATTGACTATGGAATAAGACTTTGTCTCAGGAAAGAAAAGAAGAGAAGGAGTAAAGAAGGAAGGAAGGAAGCAAGGAAGCAAGGAGGCAGGAAGGCTTTCTTAACTGAGCAGGAAAGCTCCCCCTGAGTGGTGGGCCTGGGAATATAAATCATCAAAGGTCTTTGTTATGTGTCCACAAAGTGTGCAGTCCTTCTCGAGACAGAAGTAACTGTGGGATAAAGAGTTCTCAGCAGTGTGTCCACTAGGAGATGTAGGCACTGTGAGGAAGGCAAGGCAAGGCCATTGAGGGAGAGCTTAAACCCATTCCTCACTTCCAAACAAGCCTGTGAGAGATGGGAAGCAAACCTCAGCTAGACCTTAATGAGGAGGCTGGAGCAGGGAAGCTGCTTTAGGCAGCAGAGGGCTGAGGCTCTTTCCAGAACACCCCAAGAAGCCTGAGTAGACCTGTTGACTTCTACAAGAAAGTCCTTAGGGCTATGCCATTGGCCCAGCCTGTGCTAAAGGGGAGATCTGGGGTTTGTCTCAGCACCTAGGGCTTCATCGGGTACCCAGGCAAAGCACATGAGCACTCGCTGTTGTGAAGTAATGGATTCAGGGAGCAGTGAGCATCACGCTCAGGCTGGAGAGGAGAGGGGTTGGCAGCCCCAGGGAATTGTGACCTCTTGTTTTCTCCTTTGCAGATGAGAAATGAATTCACAATCACGCATGTTCTCATCCCCAGACAAAATGGGGGGCCTGATTATTGTCATACAGAGAATGAAGAAGAAATTTTCTTTATGCAGGATGATCTTGGACTACTCACTCTTGGCTGGATCCATGTAAGATCTGACTCCCCTGAGGGCGGGGCTTCTCTCTGGTTAGAAGCACAATGGCTTCTTCACTCCCTGAGCAGAGTAAAACCTCTCCAAACAATTTGTTTCTCTGCACATATGGCTACCAGTGCCCTGGTATGAACTCAAGTGCTCTGCTGAGAGCTTTCCCAGTTTTCCTCAACTTTACCTTTTACTAAAAATAACTCTTCGATGTTCTGGTATCTCTGGTGAAGGGAAGCTGGCCTAGGATATTTGTGGACATGGCACAGAGACCAGGTACCTAAAAGCCATATAAATGAAACTACTTTAAATAGCCAAGGGAGCTCTTTCTGATGATTGCTGTCTGACTTTACCAAGCAGCACTTGCCTTTGACACGGTTTTCAAGAGTTTGCACACACCATGCACACTTCTGATGTTGTTCAAGGAAGCACATTCCTTCCCTAAGGAATACTTCTGGATGTTTCTCTCATTTTTCAGGGCCTCTTGACTCACTGAGCAAGCTGTTTTCCTTGGCATATGACAGGTGCAAGCCACAATCAGGTGGTTTATTTAAAGATTGGGGGTGGAGGTCATACACACTTGTACTTAGAACTAGGGAAGTGGGGACCTGTGGATCAGTCTCCTGCCCTTTCATCCTTTTCAGTTCAATTATGTAAATCCTTTCTGGTTTGTCTATCTCAAGGGTATGAGATGGCAGCTAGAAAACCTGCCCTGCTGTGCCCAGACACAATAGAGGACTGCACAGAAAACAAGCACCTATTCACACGAGGCAGCACACATTATAGTCCTCAGCAGGGGAACAGAGAGCATGGTGGGGGCGGGGTCACACCTGAGTGACTTAGGATGACCTGTAATGAGGAGCCAAAGGAGAGAGTCTCATGGGGGAGGGGTCAGCATTGGATCCGTCCACTGTGCTCCTGTTGGCTGGAATTTGTGGGTTTTCCTCAGAAAAAGATACAAGGTCGAACCAGGAGAGCCATCTGGAAGGCTTTTGTATTAAACTAGCGCAGGCAGCCTTGGAAGTGGGGAGAGTGGACAGCAAGGAAAGTTATTTGCTGGCATCTGGGGCAGAAAAAGCAGTGGGTAGTAAAAGGAAGCGGCGGCGGCGGCGGCGGCAGCGACGATGTGGGAGACTGAGGAATGTCTAAGGCGCCGGAGCCACAAGGCAGGGACGGTGCAAGAGGGAATTCAGGGTGCTCCCTGCATCGGGCTCTAGTATGAAAAAGACTCGATCACCTGCTAGTTGGGAGCTCACTGAAGATATTAACCCAGTGTTGCAATGGTGGGGCAAAGACTATAAGGTTTTAAAGTCATGGGAAGCCGGGTGTGGTGACACCACCTGTAATCCTAGCACTCTGTGGGGTGAGAGAGGAGGAATATGACTTGTGGCCACCTTGTGCTACATAGCAAGACCCTGTCTCCAGAAAGCAAAACAGGAGGTCATAGCATGATGACCATAGGGATGGTAGAGACTGCCATCTTGAGGCTTGGCTCTAAGGGAAGGGAGGGAGATGAGGTGGCTCTTGGCAGAGCTGGACTGACAGGCTGTTGAGTGTGAAATGGCTTGATCATGCTTTGTTTTCACTGGCTTTGGTTATCCTACAGCATTGTATGTTAAAATGTAGCCTAGTTGCGTTGGTACATGGACTAGTTCTGCAGTTCAATGAATCATTCTGCCAACATTTTTGTGCATACAATAACTAAATAAAGAACCAGGACACTGCCAGGAGCCTGCTCCACCCCTCCCACTTCTTATCTGCAAGAGTGCCCCCCACTCTTGCTCCCATCATCCTGTCCTCACTTTCTTTAGAGTTCACCCCTTAAGTCTGACAGTCTGACCCCCTGCTTGCTGTCCTTCACCTCTGCTTGGGTCTAACCTTGAACTGCGGTTGTAAGATATGTCATTTTCACACCCGGCTTCCTCTGCTTGGCCCCTTCAAGATTGATCTGCACTCTGGCATGCATCTGTCTGGGGTGTGTGTGTGTGTGTGTGTGTGTGTGTGTGTGTGTGTGTGTGTGTGGTGTGTGTGTGTGTGTATGAGAGGTGCACAAAGGACTCGTATTTGCACAGGGAGAAAGCAGACAGCTCTCAGAGTCAGGACTGAGGTCACCGAGCTGAAGACACAGAGAGATGGTTGAGCTGATGTGGGAGGAGCCACAGACACTCTTGCCAGGCTGCCGTCACCTCAGTGAGGTTGGGGTGAGGGTCTGCTGCCAAGGGGATAGGGTGGGGTGGGAAGCCGTGGAGGAGGCTTAGAAGCTAGAGGAGGCTTAGTGGTTAAGAGCTCTTGCTGCTCTCCTAGGGGATCTAAGTTTGGTTCCCAAAACTCCTTCTTGGCAGCACACGGTCTCCTATAACTCCAGCACCCAGGGATCTGACACCCACTTCTGGCCTACACAGGACACTTGCACACATGTGACATATATTCACACAGACATGTGCACATAAACATAAGTAAAACCATTTTTAAGTAAATCTCTTTTAAGAATAAAAAAGAAACTAAAGGAGAGGGCAGGCTCCAAAAACGTTACTTCTCAAACTCCAGGTAGAACTAAGCATGGGTGGATGAGGCCTAGCTAGGAACATATGGAGGCAAGTTTGGCTTATTTTACCTCTGTGACATTTCTGCACCATTTCTTCATAATTTGGCATTGAAAACAATAAAAAGGGACTGGCCAGATGGTTCAGTATGTAAAAGCATTTGCTGCCAAGTCTCTCAACTGAGTTCAGTTTCTGTGGCTCACTTGGTGGAAGGAGAAAACTGACTGTCACAAGCTGTCCTCTGACCTGCACACACACACACACACACACACACACACACACACACACACACACACACGACATAGACAGGCAGACACACATTTGTGAGGTTGCACACACAAAGCAGTAATCTTTAAAAAAACAAAAACAGCAGTCTATATGTCTTCTTGGGTCTTTAAATTTTAGGAGAAGAGGCAAAGGTCAGTTCTTTCGCTTCCTCAGAGATCCATCTATTCCCACCCAATACCCCTGACCTTGACCTCAGACATCTCTGTGCTCAACTTCTTCCTCTTGTTTCTCAGAGCTTTTAAAAGCCGATTTTATGCCTTCATGTCAAGGCATAAAATTGACAAATCATACAAGCCTGTATATGATATATAACATGTTTTGAGTTATGTATACATTGTGAATGCTGAGTTGACTATGGTCTTTATATGAGAAGAACATTTAAAAATCTGTGCTCACACTGGGCCTGGTAGCTCACATCTGTATTACAGTACTTAGGAGACTGTGGCAGGAGGTTTTTGGGACCAGCCATGGTTACATAGTGAGTTCCAGGGCAGCCTGGGCTATAGAGTTAGATCCTGTTTCTAAATAAATAAAAATCTGTCTCAGCCATTTTCAAGTACATGGCACATAGTCTTGAACTCCACAGGCTTCATGCTGTATTAAAAAATCTCTTCATCTTTCAAGGACCTTTAGAGTTTCCACACACTGATGTTAGACTCCACTATTTACAGTGCTGGGAAGGAACTCCCTGTGAGGGTCCAGTGTGTTCCTCATGGCTGCAAATAGCTCTGTACTTGAAGAAGGGGTTGGGTCCCGCTCTTGGGAGCTCCTTGGAACTGCCTTCCTTAGTGGGCCAGGCATGGCAGCTGGGTCACTGGAAATTCTCTGACCTGTTTTTTGTTTTTGTTTTTGTTTTTGTTTTTTTCAGACTCACCCAACTCAAACGGCCTTTCTGTCCAGTGTGGATCTGCACACTCACTGCTCCTATCAAATGATGTTACCAGAGTCCATAGCAATTGTCTGCTCCCCCAAGTTCCAGGAGTGAGTACCAGCCAAAGTTCTCTATCATTGAAACCAAATGTGTGTGCGTGTGCGTGTGCGTGTGCGTGTGTGTGTGTGTGTGTGTGTGTGTGTGTGTGTGTGTGTGTGTGTGCTTACATGTGTACATGAGTATAGGAGGGTGCCTGTTCACAAGTGTTCACCTGTGTGTGGAGGCCAGAAATAGGATATCTCTCTCTGTTGTTCTTCTAACTTACTGTTTTTGACACAGGTCTCTGGCTGAACCTGGGGACCACTGGTTTGGCTGGAGAGCCCCACTGTCTGCCTCCCTTGCTTGGGGATTTTAGATGTATACCATCACACCAGGCTCTTTGGTAGATGCTGGATCACGCATTTTACCACCTGAGCCATCCTCCAGGCCCCAAGACTCTTTAAAAACGAAAAATCATAAACTGCCCTCACTAGCTATTCTCAAAGGCTTCCTTTAAGTTCCAGATTCTGATAAACACAACCTAGTCTTTAAAAGATATATTAATAATGTCGGTTTTCTAAGAAAAACCTTCAAGAAATTTGAATTATTTGACTTAAAGTGATAGGATCTTGAACACCTGAGGTCAAAGGTTAAAAAATCCCTACATTAGACACCGTCTCCCAGTGTCAATTCTTTCCGTTCCAAATGTCCCCTTTACTCTGAAGTCCCCAGCAGAGCTAATAATGGGGACAGTGATGACCTAGCCTTTTCATTTTTCATTGTTTTGTAGTGTCACTTTTGTGTACTTATAGTGTTATCATCCTGCAGGGCTCTGTGACTCTGTTCTTGCCATTTTCCCCTCCATTTCTCAGACTAAAGGATCTCAATTGACCTAAGTAATTGTAATTACTTAGTGTAATTGTTCACTGGTGCTTTTTTAATTCCTACTTAGATCTGTTGTTGATTTTCTTAAAGGAATTTTCACTTTTAGTTTTAATTCCCAAGTAGAGAGTTCCTCTTTGGAGCTTGGAAAGATGGCTCAGCAGGTTATGCTTGTGTGGAGAACCAGAGGACGTAGGTTCAATTCCATTCCCAGCACTCACACAGCGGCTCACAACCACCTGTAACTCCAAGGATTCCAATACCCTCTTCTGACCTCACTGTGTACTGGGCATGTAGGCAAAGTACTCATAAAATAGAGTAAATAAGTCAAGAAAGAAAAAAAAGAAAGAGAGAGAGAGAGAGAGAGAGAGAGAGAGAGAAAGAAAGAAAGAAAGAAAGAAAGAAAGAAAGAAAGAAAGAGTTTCTGTTTGTTTCCTATTTATAACCACCAGATAATTTATTCTTTAACTATGACCCATTCCCCAGAGGAGAGAGCTATAAGCCAGTATACTGTGAAAGCTGTCTGAATTGAAATTCCTCTGCCCTGCTGAGTCAGTGTGCTTGCCGGGAATGTGTGAGTATGAGACAGGCGAAGAAGACAGGGAGAGTATTGGGATTGAGGGGAAGCCTCTGTGGGAAGCCTTGACTCAGAGCCTGCCCTTCCTTATTTCAGAACTGGATTCTTTAAGTTAACTGACTATGGCCTTCAAGAGATTTCAACCTGCCGACAGAAAGGCTTTCACCCTCACGGCAGAGACCCCCCTCTGTTCTGCGTAAGTATCTATGTAGAAGTCAGCAAGGACGTGAAGTCCACGAAGTGTATGGTATTTCTAACGCACCTGACTTCAGCCCCGTCACTCACCTTCCCAGAGTTCCACAGTCAGCATGGACACTGGAAACAGTGGGCGGTGGAGATAGGTTGGGGTCTCAGCTCTGTCACCCTGTCTGAGGCCCTGACCCTTCCTGGGTCTTTCACCTGATATGTGGGATAATAATGATACTTACTTTACAGGGTCTTTGAGAGAATGAAATAGGTGGGGCGCGGTGTAGCCCAGGCAGAATGTGTTCAGTATGCCTGAGGCCCTGGGTTCAGTCCCCAGCATCACTGGAAAAGGAAGTCATAACAGAAATACCTAATACAGAAATACCTAATGCATTATCTGCTTGTTAAATGTTACTTTGTTCAGTGTCAGTTACTAAGTTTCAGTCAGCGATCCTAATGCAAAAGGGAAAAGCCATGTAAACTAGGTAAACTCAGCATATTCCATTCTGGAATTTTGCATAGAAAACAGGGTTTTCACCCTGCCCCCGGGCCCCCCCTCTGCCCCCCCCCTGCCTCCAGGAAATGGTTTCTTCTCCCAGCTTGTGTCCATGACAACTGGTTTAGCTGATCAGATCTCAGGGTGACAGAGGGTGACAGATCAGCCTCAAATCAATGAGATTCTGGTAGTTACTCCACGCCAGCCTGATCTTTTCCCTCTTTTTTTCGGCGGGGACACACACACACATACACACACACAAGACAGTGGTCCATAGAAAAGCAAGCAACAGAGAGGAGGAAACCAGAATCCTGGGCCATAAAGAGCAGGAATGTATCAAAGAGAACCACAGAAGGCTAGGATAGGTCTAGCCTTCCTAGACTCTAAGAGCTCTAAGAGCTGATTTTGTATGATAGAAGTTATTTTATTTACACACACACACACACTTATGTATGCTTGTATATGTGTGTTGGTGCACTTCATGCTTTTCTAAACACAAGAACTTAAGCTTCATAGAATAGTAGCTTCTGAAAATATATATGTATTATTGATTTATCACATTAATTTTTTATTGAACTTTATTTTCAGTATTATGGATCAAACTCAGATAATAGATTTCAGCTTAAAGTAAGGAAGAAAATAAATCTCAAAAAAAATAAATAAACAAGGCCAGGAGGGCTGGCATGTGCCTTTAATCCTAGCACTCTGGGAGGCAAAGACGGGTGGATCTCTGTAGGTTTTAGGCCAGCCTGGTCTACAGTATGTTCTAGGCAGATATAGATATATAGATATATAGATATATATCTTGGGATATAATAATGTTTAGATGCCAGAATGTTGAAATACAGATTGTATCACCAAATAGGTCAGGGACACCAATGCCCAGGTTTCTAGCTATAAAGAGTCTTTCTGAAATTGGACATGGTGGGTTGCAACGGGAAGATCACCAGTTTGAGGCCAGCCTGAGCTACATAGCCAGACCCTGTCAATTCCAATAAATAAATAATAAATAAATAAGCAAGGCTTGGAAGATCACCAGTTTGAGGCCAGCCTGAGCTACATAGTCAGACCCTGTCAACTCCAATAAATTAATAAGCAAGACTTCTTATGCCAGAGTGAGAATCTGCCCCCCCAGGTGGCCTTTATTATTTAGATGATATAATTCCATCAACACTGCAACAAGCCTACTAATTCTTCTGAATAAAGGAATATGTAACAAGTGACTCTAGAAAATATACAGGAAGATGGTGATTCAGACCATAAGTAGATTGGTAGGAGTGATGAGTCCCAGACCCTTTACTGTAACTGCCACTGACATCATGATCTGGTTTCCAGACCAGACATCACTGACCTCGAGCCAGCATTTACTTACTTACTTACTCACTTACTTAATTATTTTTCAAAGAGGGCTGCATCTACATCACTACAGGATCTCCCATGCCTCCCATCCCTCCTCAGGTCCCCTCATCTCCCTCCCAAATTTATGATCTCTTCTTTAATATCACACACACACACACACACACACACACACACACACACACAGCCTACTGAGACCATTTAGCTTTGCTCATATATATACATGCGTCCTGGGCTGACAATGTATGCAGGATCTCATCCCTTGAGGAAACTTCTCAGCAAACAATGGCCAATAGCTTTCATCTAGGTGTGGAACTGTGTGAAATGTTCTTCCATCCATGTTGGCAGGTTAAACTGGTGTTGTCAAATATTTTGTTTTGTCTGTGCACCTGTATTCTTATTTCATGGATGCATTTTCCTTGTTGAGTCTAGGGGTCACTGGCTTGCACAATCTTTCTGTTCTCTTCTTCTGAGATTTTCCCTGAGCCTTGGGTTTCCTGGTTGCATTGTAGATCTATCTGTTATTTTATTTTATTTTTTTTGTATTTCGATTTGTTGTAGTTCTCTAGTCTTCATCTGTTACGAAAGGAAGCTTTATTCGTAAAGAGCGAGAACTACACTTACCTGTAGGTAACAGGGTAAGAGTTTAGAATGCAGTCGGAAACTGTATTGGTTTAAGAAAATGGTGGTAGGAGATTCTTCTCTCAGTCTGTGCTCTCCCCAGGCATGGCTAGATTTACAGTACCAAGTGTGAATCCCCAAACCCCACTGAAAAGGCCTTTTGTCCAATTAGACAGCTTTTAGTCACCCCCAAGATAAAAATGCCACTGTCGCACCACTGTGGGATCTTACCTGTCTGGTCATTATTGTGAGTTGTAGGCTGTACAGCTGGGTAAGACATCCAATTGCTCCTCTTCCTTAGCAGCTTGCATAGTACCTTTCAATTCTACGAGAGCCAGTCCTCTGCAAAGAGGCTTCCCAGATCAGTTCCAGCTCGAATCCTTCAAATACTGCATCCAAAAGAGTGTGGTATCTTCAGCAATAATGTCTTACATTTGAGTTCTTGAAGGCAACCAAGGTCAATGCCAGTAGCTCATATTGTTTGGGAAGACTTGTATTTGTCCAACCAACGACCAACAATATGTATTTGGGGCAGGGGGGAGAGACAGGGTCTCAATAGCCTAGTACTCACTGTGTAGACCAGGCAGCCTTAAACTCACCGAGATCCACTTGCCTCCTGCCTCCCAAATGCTTGGATTAAGCGTATATGCCAGCGTACCTAGCATATTGAATGTATTTTTAAAGTAAACTTATAAGATAATATATTCACTATGTTTTCAGGCACCCTTAGTGTTCTTAGTTCTTCTTCCCTCTCTGCCTGTATTATCTCCCCCCCCCCAGATGAATGCCCTGTTATTCTCTTAAACCCCTTTGTAATACTTGACTCCTACTATTCCACTCTCCAGAGCTTCCTGTCCACCCTCCCTGCCATGGTCCCTTTCTGCTTTCCTGGCTTCCTCTGGCATATCAGGGTGTATACTCAAATGTAAAGATTCAGAACTAGGATTCACAAATAAGGGAGAATATTTGACATTTGTCTTTCTGGGTCTGGGTTACCACTTGAGTGGGCATTTTAAGTGAGAGGTTTAGGGCTGGGGTTGTATCTCAGCTGGTGGAGCTCTTTCTTCACAAGCCCCAGACCCTGGGTCCAGTCCCCAGTACTAATGAACTGAGCAGAGGAGTGTTTATCTGTTCCAACACTCTGATGTAGCAGCAGGAGGACCAATGCCATCCTGGGATACCTAGGGAGTTTGAAGCCTTCCATACAACCCAGACTCAAATAAAAAATAAATGTTTTTGGTTTTTAATGACTCTGAAAGTATTTTCCACAAGCTCATTGTTCTTCCTTTTTCCCTGTTTCAGGACTGCAGTCATGTAACTGTCAAGGACAGGATTGTGACCATCACAGACCTTCGGTAAATCTCAATCACAATCCAAGGAGATGGCGCATTGGGTAAAGGCACTTGCCTCCAAGCCCAACCGCCCAAGTTCAATTCCTGGGACCCACATGATGGAAGGAGAGCATCAACTGACCCCAAGTTGTCCTCTGACCTCCACTTGTGCACTGTGGTATGTGCGCTCACACGTGCGCGCGCGCGCACACACACACACACACACACACACACACACACACACACACATCAAACAAACAAATAAATGTAATTTACAAAAGGAGTCTTACCCTCCTCCTGAGTTAAACACTTTGATCAATTTACTATCCCCCCCCCCACACACACACACACATGGAATTAGGCTTTTAAGACAGAATAGGGAAGGGTCAATACTAATGGGAGACTGTTGGTCTTTTTAATTTATTATTTAAAAACAAGTCATTTTATTTTTTTAAGGCAAATCTGAAAGTGAGCAAATCACACCAAGCAACTAACTCAAAAATTAGGGTGCAAGAGAAAGCACATCTCTAAGCGCTTTATATCCGACCACGGCCTTTGGCCTTTTGTCCCTCTTGTGACTTGCCTACCAACTTGTTCATCTCTGCCTTTGGATGGAATAAGGGCATCTTGCAAAACTGTGAAAGCCATTTTGAAGAATTTGGCTTTTTCTTGTTTGCAGCATTACTAAGGGAGCTTATCACTCTGGTGGGAAGTGAGGAGCTCACAGCCCCCCATAAGTTGATTTTGTTTAAAAAAAAAAAAGAAGTGTATTATTTAAAAGGTTAGGATGTTATTTTCTTCTGTAATAAAACAGCTCACCGTGTTGTGCTCTAGAGTGATCTGTCTGATCGTGGGCATCACGTAAACATTTTAAATGGAAACTCTGAAGTCAAATGGATGGTGTGTCCTGCAGTGAACTGCAACACAGTTCCCGTCCATGGGCAGGAAGTCGTCTCTTGTTCTGGTGTTATCTCAAGTGGGTCTTCCCACTTTCTCCTTAAGCCTCACAACCTTTAGCCAAGGCATTAGGCCTTTCAGAGTCCCAGCCAATGGTGTGGTTGCCTAGCCACCCACCCTGCTAAGTCCACTGTGCTTGCTTCGTCTTCTTCAAAATGTCTAGGATGGTGTGTGAGACTGTAGACCTCACTTTTCTTCACAAATGGAGTTGGTGCTTAAAGGTAGCCTAGAAATCTGTGACACCAGCATGAGAAAAGAGTAAATATGTTGCATAGTAAAATTATTTTTAACGTGTGTGTGTGTGTGTGTGTGTGTGTGTGTGTGTGTGGCATACCATGTGCATACAGGTGCCTGCAAAGCCAAACAGGGCTTGGGATCCTCTAGAACTGAGGTTACAGGCAGTTGTGAGCTGCCATGAAGGATGCTGGGAACAGAACCCAAGTCCTGTGCAAAAGCTGAAAGTGCTTTTAACTGCTGAGCCTTCTTTTCTAGCCCCCAAATTGATACTCTCATCCATACCACAGTGCTGCCTTCCTGAAATATATACATGGCCACATGCATTCAGAAAAGGATGAATTTGCATCAAGGGGTGGAATTATGAGATGATTGTCTTTATTTTCCCCTCTATCCTTTTAAATTTTTTCCCAACTAGAGAGAACATACAGGACATTCTAACTGGACAAAAAGAATAATAACCCCCTGTTTTCCAGAAACCAAAACTCCACTGCCCCCTTAATGTGGAAACCCAGCCAAGACCTGCTTCCCTGAACAGCCTCAGTGAGGGGGGCCTTAGTAACACTCTTGGGCAAAGCCGCAGACGCATGTCATATATGGAAACCTTCCATGAGGCTGACCTCACTGTTGGAACCTGTTCAACATAAACCTTGCCTTCAAGAGCTAACAGAGATCTTTGGACAAAGCCTGGTGGATGGAGAGCTGAAAACTGCCTAAGGAGTGAATTGCTGGTGTTATGCCTGAAGAAGTTCTGACCGTGCTTCTGGACTCAGTAGATTGCTGATCAGTCCCCTGGGAAGGATGGCTTTTCATGTCACCCTCCTCCTGAGAGGAGCTGCCGCAATAGCCTACCATTGTTTCTGACTTCTGAGCTTGGCAAGAACACAGGCTGTTGCTTAAATTAAACACTACAATGGTTACTGGTGGGTGACGGAAGTGGAACCGACTCCTACACAAAAGGAAGCCAGGCCATTCTTAGACACTCCTCTGCCTGTTCCCTGCCATTACAGCTCTGCCACCCCCAGCAGTCCTAGGTTCACCTCATTTTGCCTTTAAACAAGTGAATCATTCTTGGCATGGTGGCACATGCCTGTGATCCCAGCACTGTGGAGGCTGAGGCAGGAGGCTCAGCCTGAACTAGACAGTGAAACCTTTTTTAAAAGTGTTAATGGCATTGCACTAAAGCTATTGTGCAATCCATGCTAACTAAGCATTGGCCATCCTGCCACCTTAAACAGAACAGCCCTTAGTCCCTGTTCAGCACACTAGACCTCTGTTGGTGTTCAGAGCATCTCTGACACAACCCAGTCCTTCTATCCTTTCCCAAGACTAGGGAGCTTAGAATTGTCTTAATTGATTCATGGTAAACCCAGGATCTGGTCACACAAGTATTTTCATTCCTAGTGGCATCGTGGCACACCATCACTAATAACTATGACACTTGAAGCTTTAGCTGGCCCAAGAAGAGACCACAAAGAGAGGAAAGAATTTGTATTAGTTCAGATTCTTTTCATTGCATTGATAGAAAACCCAACTGGGGATGAGACATAGCTGGATCCAGTGTCCACTGTAACCACAATTCCCTTGATTCAGGGCTTGTTCATTTAAGTGATTTATTCCATTAATGTAGACAGCTGTAGTTTAATAAACCATTGTTTGGATAAATCTAGCTGAAAATGAACTGGGTTTCAACACAACTCCTGTAATTGAGTTGTTGGGTCATAGCTTTGGCCACAACTCATCCTGGGACCAGTCACTGTGGCCAGAAGAATGGAATGTTCTGATTGGTCAGGCCTGCGCTGAAAGTCTATAATCCCATCTGAGCTGCATGGTCTGAGATCAGGGAATGTTCTTTTTCAAAGAATATCATGGTAGCATTTGAAGCTGAAATGGATGGTGAGCAAGGGGAGTCAACAAATGCCATGGATGAGAATCTAAGTCTGCCAATAGCAGTAGTAACCAATAGTGTGAGCTAAGTAGATTAAATAGTAACACCAAGTGCTGTGGAACTTAGATAATAGCAGCTGGACTAGGGGATACTGACTCACTCCCCAAAATATGAGTCATACACCCAGATTGACAAATGTACACAGGACAGTGACCAGGAGACCCTAAAGAGAGAAACATGTTTTCATTATAGTTATCATATTCCACTTTCTGTTCAGCCAACAAACATTTACCACACACCTACTAAATGCCAAGTCCCACAGGATTTGATAGAGGCAGGCTCTGGAGAAGAACTTCCAGGGATGGTTTCAGACAGATCTGGGATACATAAATCATTGCAAAGAAGAATTTGGTTGACTATGGAGGGAAAGAGATGGAGAAATCAAGCATACAGCCAAGTAGGTTCAGAAACTATTAAAGCATAGTAAACCATGAGCTGGAGAGATGGCTCAGTGGTTAAGAGCACTAGCTGCTCTTGCAGAGGATCCTAGTTTGGCTCCCAGCACCCACATGGAAGCTTATAACCAGTAACTCCAGATCCAGGGGATCCAACACCCTCTTCCAGCTTCTGCAGACACTGAGCATGTAGGTGGTACGCAGACGTGCATCCAGGCAAACACTCGTACACAAATTTAAGTGTGTACCACAATCACGTCCCCACAATGGATGCAGTACATCATAATAAATACATGTGTATAATGACATAAACCCAGCATCCTCCTGTAGAAAGGACCTGTCTTCCAATATAAATTACAGCATCTCACTAAAGCACATATAGGAGGGGAACAATTCTGCTGGCACTTGGATGGGCACTCTAGGTTCCAGCTGAGACACCTGGATTCTGTGACTGGCTTAGCGTAAGGATGAACTCTGGCATACCTGGAAGCGCTGCTGTATTGTTTGGGATTGTCTTTTGGGGGGTGGCATAGTAGTGGGGTCATCATGTTGCTGATGATGATAGTGGTGGTGATCTCTGGATAGGGTCTCGGGTGACCCAGGTTGGCCTCCTTACCTATGCAGTCAAGGGTAGACTTTAACTCCTGATCCTTCTGCCTCCACCTCCTTGGTGCTGGGATTACTGATGTATACCACCGTGCCCCACATTTACTGTATGTTTTGTCTTTAGATTTTGTTTTTAGGTTTATTTAGGTGTGTGTAACGATAAGTCTTTACACCAAGCCGCCCGAGCCCCGCTGCCATGTGGGTGGCCAAAATAACATACAGAGATTAATATTAGGTACAATGCTGCAGGCCAATGACTAGGATTTCTTATCTGCTAGCTCAGTCTTAAATTATCAACCATAACAATATCTATTTATTTTGTAAAGACTTATCTTAGAGGACGCTGGCCTTAAGCATCTTGTCTTCCCGGGGATCACATGGCGACTCAGAATCCTCCTCGACTCCTAGCCCCACCTATCTTGCTTTCCTATTGGCCAAACAGTGCTTTATTTATCAACCAATAAGACAAACATATACACAGAAGGACCTCCCTCATCAAGTGTGGGGGGCGGGAGGAGGAATGTGTGCCTGTATGGATTTATGTGCACCATATTTGGGGCAGGAGGGTGTGGGCTTGCCTACACACACATGTGTGGCTCTGGGAGAGCATTGTGCAGCAGCCTGGAGAAGGGCTGGCTGGGCAGGCTTCAGAAAAAGAATGAGAAAGCCAGAGCACCCAGGCCATGCTAAGGTTTGAGCAGATTGGGGGATGAAAGAGAAGGGAAAGGAGGAAAAGTTAGATGTTCTGAGTTAGAGTTCAGACAAACAGACAGAAGCAGCCAGGCTCTGGGTGCAGCCTGATGGACATTGTGCAGGCAGCTGCCTTACTGAAGAATTTTAAACCAGTGGAAAGTAAACCACAAACTTTCACTGTTAGGCAATCCTTTGTGAGTTCGAGGTCAGCCTGGTCTACAGAGTGAGTTCCAGGACAGCCTCCAAAGCTGCAGAGAAACCCTGTCTCGAAAAACAAAACAAAAAAGCATCACAAGTGGCCACTCTAAAAGTTCTTGGCAAACACCAGGCTCTCGAAACACTAGGAGAGGAATCACACTCAGGTTCAAAGGCAGGATTTGGTGCTAGACTACGTGGAACAGACAGGTGGATTCCTGGTTTCCGTAAGAGACTTAATCTTCCTTGGCCTCAAAGTCTTCAACTCTTTCTTTTAAAATCAAATTAAATATGATTACACAGGGTTCGGGAGATGGCTCAGAGAGTAGAGGAGCTTTGTACAACAAGCCTGAAACCTGATTTCAGTTGAACCCATGGAAAGAGAGAATGAACCCTACAGTTGTCCTAGGATCTCCATAGTGCACTGTGGCACACAAACCTGCTCATATACATCATATGCACACAATAATAACAAATTTAAATATATGATTGTACATATAAAAGGCTATATACAATATGTAGCATGTAAACACTTCAATAAATGGCAGTTCCAGTAACAAGAAGAAAGTATTAATAGTGAGACCTGTGTCAGCCACTTGTTCAAAATCACCTTTGAGATTCCAGTGTTCTAGGGAAACATTTTGGTCTTGCTTCACTAGGTGGGCTGAGGGTTCTAACAGCCCAGATTTTGTGCTACAGGTTCCCTGCTCTTCCTGTGAAAACCACAGTGCTGGTCAGAAACTAAAGGGAGGGTCCTGCTTCCACTTAAAAATCATCTTTCTGTTGGGGTAGGCCCGGGTTTCATGTGAAGAGTTTGATGTGTTTTTGTTTTCTTTGGCTGCTGTTTGATTTTTTTGTTTTGTTTGGTTT